TTGGTGGAGGTCATGGTTTGGGTTGGTGGTTAATAAATAGTGTGTGAGAGATAAAGCAAAAATAAAGGATGGAAAGTGGAAAAGTGATGTTCGGTAAGATTGTAAAAATGAGCTTAAGTTGACGAACTGACCCATTTAATCCATTAAATTTGGTAGACTGGGTTGAGTGGTTTGGACCCAATGGCCCATTTAGCTTGCCATAATATGGGTCAATGGTGAGCCAGAGTAGGTTGACTCGTCAGGTCTATTTTTTATTTTTAAAATTTTAAAAATAATTATTTATTAATTAAATATTATTTTTTATTAATATAAAAAAAATTTTAAAATATTTTTTATTATTTATTGTAATTTTTTATTTTTTATTACTTTTTGGTGGACTGATCCATTAATTAAATGACCCATCGATTTTTTTATTTTATTTTATTGGTTTTTGGCAGGCTGACTCGTTAGCCTGTCAGCCCACTCTTAAACAAATTGGACTAAAAAACTAGTCTATTTTTAAATGGAGCGTACTCTGGCTAGCTCATTTTTAAATAGGTTGAAGAAGAAGAAGAAGAAGAAGAAGAAGAAGAAGGAGGAGGAGGAGGAGGAGGAGGAGGATGAAAGCAAAGTGGAGAAGGAGAAATTGGTAGAGGTGGCTAAAAAAAAGGGCAAAGTGGCTTAGGTGAAGTTCCAGTGGTGATGGATGCCTAGCTGCTGGTGGCAGTGATTTGTGATTTTTAATTTTTTTTTGTATATTTTTTTATTATTTAGACATTCTAAGATTAATTTTATTATATGAAACTTACATTTACAGTATGAACGTGCTTGAATATGCATGAAAATTTTATAAAATGCATGACAACTTATTTGAAGTTCTTAAATATCTTCTCTTACTTTCCTTTACTTCCTTCTTTTTTCTCTCTTTGTTCAAAATGCCCTCTATCAAAAAAATTTCATTCTTTCTTTAATGCTTCTCTCAATGGTTGTCTACTCCTCTTTTATGTTGGTATGATTTTTCCTTTTAGGATTTTTCATAAAAGGTCAAAATTCTAAAGTTTTTCTTCTTCATATATTGAGCGAACATTAATTTATGGATTTAATTGTTTGCAATGTTTCATTTTCTATTCTTGAAGTTAAATATGGGTTTGCCCCTTTATTTGAAACTATTTCCTATTTTTTTTGAAAATAAAATTATTTCCTTCCTTATTTGGTCAAACAAATTTAAATTCAAATGTTTAACAAATAAATATAAAAATTTTGAATAAAATTTAGTATTCATTATGTTGAAATACCTCTCACTATTTTGTGTCCAATTAGAAAATAGTGTTGAAAACAATGGTAGCTATATTTCTATAATTAATTAAAACATAATTTTTGAAACTATAAATATGTTTATTTATTAAAAAGATAAAATAATAAATATTACTTTACTTAAATATTCACATTTTTTTTATATTTCATGTGTTAAAATAAATTATTATTTTCTTAATTTTATTTTTTCAAGAATAATATTTATCTAGGAAACAAAATTGTTGTATTAAAAAGAATGCATCTTTATCTTCAACATTTAAGAGGATGAGTATCTATCAAATCAAGAATACTTGTTTAAGTGTTTTAATTTTTATTATCGGTCTTTATTCAAATGTTGAGATAATAACATTTATTAAAGTTTTGTTAATTTTGAGATAATATAAAATTACATAATTTGAAGTTTTATAAACTTTGTTATACTTTTTTATATCTACCATTATTTTGATATCACCGAGCCCGTAAAATTATTATGGGCACCCATTTGTTTTTCTAATTTTTTAAATGTATTTTTATAGATATTGAAAAAAAAAAAACTATATTTTTATGGGCTTGAATTTAAGACCGTTGATCAGATGAGATTCATCATTGTTAACTATTGTTATTTTCTTCTTATCAAGATGTTAATTAAAGTAGATTTTTTTAAAAAAAAATATTTTTAATCTAAACTATATTTTCTTTAAAAATTTTGTGAATAACTTACCAATCAACTTGAGTTGGTAAATAACTTTTATTGGTAATCAAAAGAATATATCAAATGATGCGACACTATTATATTTATAAGTAATATATTCTAATTCAATTTAAAAATTGAATATCATTAAAAAAATATATTTTTTCAAAATTTAAATTATAAAGCATATCTATACATAGTATCAAGTCAAGATCTAATTTAAAAACTAAAAGTATCTTCTTTTTTTTCAAAATTAAATTATAAATCATATCTATACATAATAGAAAATTATTATGCAATTTAAAAATTAAGAGCTTGTTTGGTTTTTTATAAATAGAATTTTTAATTTTTAAAATAAAAAAATGTTTGTAAATATAAGTTTTAAAAACTAATTTTAAAAATTAATTTTTATTTTTAGTTTTTAAAACTGAAAATAGAATTGCTATTTAGGTGTTTTTATTTTTATTTTTCTGTTTTTCTTTCTAAAACTAACAAAAGTCTAACTAAAAATAATTTTAAAAAATAAATTATCAAACAAATTTTATTTTATTTATCTAAAAACAGTTTTATAAAATTGTTTTAAAATATAATTTTTAAAAATTAAAAATTAAAATTAAATCAAATAAACTTTAAATATCTTTAAGATTTTTAAAAAAAAAATAAATTATAAATCATATTTATACGTAATAGAATTTAAAAACTGAATAGCTCTGAAAAAACCTTTTTTAAAATTTAAGTTATATTTCATATCTATGTTCAAGTAGTTAATTATATATATATATAAACTTGATTAGACTAATTAATTTTTTTTGGCTATAAAGATTTAACCATTTAGAGCGGCATTAACAATTTTACAAAGAAAGTACAAGTCATGTTGCTATGCCAATTTTATCCGAATTTCTAATCCAAATAATGATATAATAAAATTAAAATTCAGAATTTGAATAACAAAAATGATTATATTCTATTGGAGGTTTAAACAGTGGATAAAAATTGATTTAACAGAATTTTTTTGTGAGTTACAGTAGAGTCGGTCAATACATAAAAAATAAGTTAAAAAAATTTAAAAAATGGTCAGAGATAATAAATAAATTTTTTAGAGAGTGAATAAAATTATTTTAAAAAAATGATTGGCAGTTATTAAAAAATAAAATATTTAAAACTATGAACACCAATTTAAATTTTAAAAATAATATTAGTGACATTTTTTGAATTTTTTTTGTCAAAAGACATTTAATGAAGTTCAATATATATACATATATATAATATTAAATAATAGATTAAATCTTATGACTTTTAAAAATAGAAATATAAATATTGATGAAAATTTTAAAAGTTTATATAATATAATAATTTTTTTTTAATATATGTATATATGGGATAAAATCTTCTTATACTGATACAAGTCTAAAATTTTTTACATTTAATTTACAAAAAAATTTAAGTTTATATAAAAGAATTTTACAAATATAAACAGAAGTATCTAAAAAAATTTAAAGTTTATATGAAATAATGAAAAAATTTAAATAACGTATTTTATTTTCAAATTTTAGAATGAAATTAATAAAAATTGTGAATTAAAATAAAATTATTATAAAAAGAGAAAGTGCTTAATTCATAAATAATTTTCACTCAATTTTAATTTTTAAATTACATATAACTAACTATGAATGATAAGAGGTCACTTGATCTTCACTTCTTAAGTAAAGTTATCTTATTTATAATATATAGAGTTAATAAATTGAATTTTTTTATGAAATTATAAATTTGATTTATTAAAGTAATTTAATTTTATCTATGTTGAATTAATATTCAATGTATTTTTATTATAATATGATAAAAATAATAACTTTAATTTTGAGATAATGACACCTATTGATCCTGTGGGGTATATGTAAATATCTTTATTATCATAATACTTGATCTACATATCTTTAAATTGTGAAATTTTTTTTAACATAATAATATAAAAAAATCGTCATTGAGATACTATAAAATTTAATAATATAAAGTTATGCTAATTTTATACTTTTTTTTATAACTACTAATATTTTGATAGCATTGAGTCAAGTAAAATTGTTATAAGCAACGATTTTTTTTATATTTAACTATTTTTTTATAGTTTTTGAAAAGAAAAATTATATTTTCATGGGCTTAAACTTAATACCCTTATTAAATTAGAGAGTTATCATTAATTAATGTTATTATTTTTATTATATATATAAAAATGTTAAGTGACGTGAACTTTTTCAAAAGAATGTTATTATAGGATAATTAAAAAAAGAATTTATGGTTTCTAATTCTTACAAGTTGTTTCTATTGATTGGAGAAATCAAGTCTCTTACAATAAATTATAATATTACTATAATTTTTCGTACTTTTAACAAAATGTAAAATATATTATAAGTGATAATTACTTTGCTAATTCAATTCATGTATAAAAAAATTTATTCTTACATCGGAGTTTTTATTTTTTTTAAATTTTAAATAAAAACATTTTTAAGAGTCATACTCTCTCTCATTGTATCGTATACCTTTTCTTACAAGCATTAATTTTTTTAATTGGATTATTTCTTTTAAATATAATTTCTTTAATTTACTTTTTAAATTTTAATCTATCGTATCTAATTGAATTTTATTTAATTTTTATTTAAAAATAATTTAATATAATGTATTATAAAATTTAAATTAGTAATGAATTAGAAAATAAAAATGTTATGAAAAATCACTTATACATTAAAAAATTTATTAATCACTAAGAATGTTTTATTTAAAATAAATTTTAAAATACTGTTGTGATAAATACTAAATTGTATACAAATATTTCTTTCTTTTTTAAAATTAATAAATAATAATTTTATTGTTATAAATTATAATGTTTAATAATATTAAATTTTATAATATCGTTTTTTAATAAAAAAAAAACAATGTGAAAAAGACATGTCGAACGAGACTTCAGTGATGCGGGAAAAAAAAAAAAAATAGAAAGAAAAGAAAACACAATGAAAAGATGCTGACATTGCATCTTACACTCGACACAGCACAAAGAACTGTGAAAACCAAAAACAAAAGTAACATAGATTAACATAAATTGTTATCCATGGCGGAAATCTCCGAATCACCGTCGAAACGGTTCAAATCACCCGTTGTCGATGACAGGATCAGTCACCTCCCCGATGTCCTTCTCGTCCAAATCCTGTCACTTCTTCCCACCAAACAAGCCGTCGTCACCGGCATTCTCTCCAAACGGTGGCGCCCTCTCTGGCCCACCGTCACCGTCTTTGACTTCGACGACGAGTCTCCGTCGGACCGGCCCGAATCGGACCGGAGAGACGACCTGAAAGCCCGCAACCCGACCGGGTTTGCCGAGTTCGTATACTCCGTGCTCCTCCTCCACGACGCGCCCACAATCACGCGCTTTCGCCTCCGCTGCGCGAACCCGGAGTGTTCCGCGCGCGACATCGCCGCGTGGCTGGTACACGTGGCGCGCAAGAGAGTGGAGCACGTGGATTTGAGCCTCTCCCTCTCGCGCTACGTGGCGGTCCCTCGACGGCTCTTCAACTGCGACACCGTTTCGGTGATGAAGCTCAACGGGGTGTTCCTCAACGCGCTCGCCTCGTTCTCCGTGCATCTCCCTCTGCTGAGAGTTTTACACGTTGGAGAGAGGGTTTTGTTTGGGTGCCACGATTACGTGGTGAAGCTTCTCGCCGGGTGCCCCGTGCTCGAGGACTTGGTGCTCGAATCCACCTATAATGATGCTTGTGGAGGACTCGTTTGTTCCGATGGAAATTTTGAGCTCAATTTGAAGCATTTGTCACGTGCCAAAATTGGGTTTTCTTGGAAGGAGAGGTGCCAGAAATCCATGCTTATTGTTTTCCAAGCGCTTTGTAATGTTAGGTGCCTCTCGCTTTTGCCCTCCACTGTTGCGGTACGAGATTCTCCACTCTATCCTTATGCAAGCGTTTGTATCTTGAATTCATATTCCCTTCCAACTTCAATTTAACATTGTAGTTAATTGTTTCCTTTTGCCTGAAAGAATATTATGTTGCATTGAAAAAATTTGTGTTTTATGGGATGGGTTGTTAAGGTGTTAGGGTGCGTTTGTTATCCTTTCCTTAGGTCCTACAACATCCTCAAATTTGAATTCAGATAAAAGGAGTGGATTGTGTATTTCTTGGGTACTCTTAGTCTTTTGCAAATAAAGGTCACTAATGTCTTTCCAGTGAAGGAAGATGTTATTTTCAGTGTACACTGTTTTTTCTCATCCTCCACCGTGCTATCAGTTTTCACTTCTGCCAGCCCAATGCTTCTCATAGTCTTACCCTCTACTCTCCACTCTAACAATGTCTCCATTGTTCTGACTAGTACACAAACTTCTCTACTCCTTCAAGATCTACTGATATTATCTGTCTTCCAGACACTGTTTCCTCCTGTGAAGCAGGTGTTGGCTGATTGGAAATGGAAAAATTCTGTGCAGCTGGAGTTCGATGCCTTACAACACAGTTGCTCGTGAGACCTTAAGGATTAATTAATCATTGATCAATAATTGTGCCATATTTTGGATAAATAATAGTAGTAGTAGTAGTAGCTGTAGTACAATTTGTTCAGTGAACAAAACTGTACATGAGCTAAATACCAGCTATTGCTTTCTTTCCTCCAGTTACGTGTCAATTTATATTTTGGCTTTTATTTTCTGAAAGAATGCAATGATTTTTAGGAAAATGTGGCATTTTTTTATTATTTGTTTCCCATGCTTTCTTCATGCAGTGTCTGAAGCATGCTTCTGCGGGTGATATTCCGGTGTTTGACAATTTAATCAAGCTGGAAATTTCATTTGGAAATTATTCTTGGGATTTGTTAGCGAACTTGCTTCAACGATCCCACAAGCTTGAAGCTCTTATGATTTATAAGGTTTGCTGAGTTGAAAAGTGAATCTTGTTTAATCTGTTATTTGCTTTGTTTTGAGGGGCTTTGGTATCTGTTATTGCAGGAACCACAAAAATATGCAAAGGGACAAGAGTCAAGATGGAACCATCCACTGCTTGTTCCTGAATGCCTTTTGTTGCATCTCAAAACGTTCTGCCTCAGAGAGTATCAAGGATTGGAAACTGAGCTGGATTTTGTTGGGTATATTATGCAAAATGCCAGAGTGTTGGAGACAATGACTATCTACTTATCAAGTTCCTTAGGCTTAGACGAAAAGCTCCAAATTCGCAGGCATTTATCTATAATTCAAAGGAACTTTGAAACCTGTCAAATTGTATTCCATTGAAGTGTATAAGGTATGTTTTTCTTAATTTCTTTTCTATGCGCAGATGATAAAGTTAAAAGCTTCATGAAATTAAAAGCTTTTATTATGATCTGTGTTTAGCAGGGTGTGAATTGTTTCAGGAAGGATGGAAAAAAAAATATTTAAATTGAAAGCTCTATTCAATTCTATTTGTTTGTATCTCCTTGCTCATTTCATGGTCAAAATCTAAACATTTTCCTAATGCTAGCTTTTGGGATGTGTACTGAATCTCATGCCCCGTTTTAGTTCAATTATTTGCTGCTCAAAAGCTGCCTTCTCTGTTTGGGTGTTAAGGGTATGGGTATCGTCTCTTTCATTTATGGTCTTTGACTATGGTATCTTCAATTCATTGCTATGAAAATAACTACCTGAGCTGAGGGTGGCAGTTAGGGTATCTTTAAAATTAAATCTATTAAAAGTGCTTATAAACTTTATGCTCTCTTACTATCTTGCGAGAGAATAATATTCCCTTTTCTAACTCTTCTTGTGTTGTCTCTTGAGTTTGGAATGACTAAATGCTTAAAAGAATAAGACCTAGACAGGAGGAATTTATTTCTTTAGTTTGCTTTATGATACTTAGTGGTTGGTGATAATGGGCCAACAAGAGCATTAGATAGGTGTTGCTAAGATGATGATTTTCTGTTGGTTGAGCGTGTACACAAGAAATTATTAGATCAAGAATGAATATATTCAAGAGAAGGTTGGAGTGGCACTTGTTTTGGAAAATGTGGTAGAGTAATGTCTAAGATAGTTTGAACATGTGAAGAAAAGACCAGTAGAAGCTCTGGTTAGACGAGTTGACTAGATGAAAATAACCTTATAATCAGAGGTAAAAGCAGACCAAGAAAGACTGAGTAAAACTTTTTTTTTTTTTTTTACAAATATAGGTCTGGATGGCTTCTCTGAGGTTTGTGACAGAACACAATTGCTTCGTTTGATCCATGTAGCTCTTTTCTACTTTAAATTCTAAACCTAGCTTTAGAATTTGCACATATAATCGTCTTTAATGTAAGAGGAATATCTAGGATTTTAATGCAAAAGGAATACCATGAATGGCTGTTGCTTTGTTTTGTTCAATAGGCTTTTAAACAATTACTCTTTCATATGGAAGAACTTTCTCCTCTTACTCTGGCAGTTTAGTGTTTTGCATTTTCCAAAAATACTGGGATTGATGCAAATCTCTATGTAGGACAAAGCTAACCACCTAGTTTTTGCTCTCTTTTATGAAGTTTATAAAAAGAAGCAGATGAGTCTGCTTTCTGCAGTATTGCTTGACAGTAGATTTAGTCACCTCTTGGCGTATAGTGGTTGAGGTTGGACCATTTTTGTAAAGATCCTGCTGAATACAACTGGTCACTTCTTGAAAGGTCTAAATTTCCTCCTATGGTTTTTGGTTTTGGTGTATTGTATTTATCAAAGGCTGAGCTCCTTATTCCATCCAATATGCCATTTGGTCAAGGCACATCATTTTTCTGTATGATTTTATTTTCTCTCTTTTATGTTATTGAAATAATTTGTCCAACAATTTGGTACAATTGAAATTAGTAGTGTCAAAATAATGGGTTGAACTGTCTGTAAGTTATCTGCATACTGGCCTTGATATAATTGAAATTATGAATATAGTTGAAATATGACAATCTATAATATACAGTAGAGCTGGTTATTGCTGTTGTAGAGACATTGGTTATTTAGGCTTGCTTCTCGATAATTCAGATTCTATTTCATTTATAAGAATTAACGGTCCTATTCTTATGCATGCTTTTCAAAGCAGGAAAACCAAGTACACCACCAGTTTCAAGTGCGGACATTATTCTCTTGTAGTGATGGTATTGCAGCAATTTGCTGATATCAAAGTTTGACGGAGCCTATTTTGATCTGAACAGTATAATGTTCCAGGGCCTTCGTTTTTTGTTGTGTTGCTAATAGTCTTTGTTATTGTGAATACTTCTAGTTGGTCTAGGAATTGAACAGTGAGCTAAGGCTCGTTATAGGCTGTAACATGAATACTTGTCTTACCTAAAGAAGTTACCTTAACATACTGCTATGAGGGAAAAATCTGTAACCAACTTGTATTCCATACTTTAAAAGTTCAAAATAGCTGTGACATTTATTATTTGACTGTAACATGGATAGCTTTCTCTTGGGGAATTGTTTGACTGCCCTGCCAGATCTTGTGTGAGCTTGGATAACATATGATCCTAGTATGTGTCCTAGTCCCCTGTTTTGTGGTGGTTAATTTCTGACATTTATGATTGTAATGTTAATGAACATAACTGAATATTCTTTTAGTATGTGGTTATTAAATGCATTAGTGAAATAAGAAAGTCTATGGGAAATAGGCCCTTCTTTTAGTCATTAACCCTCTCGTGTAGACGAGTCATAAAAGCAAGTACTGTTTAGGTTATAGCACTGCCCAAGTGTAAACCCTGCTTATTCAGGGATTGAAAACGAAATGCCATATTTTAAAGGACAACATAGGTACTGACGGTACTTATCGCCAATTCAGAATTTAAGTTTTACTTTAATTATTTGCATAGTAAGAATTAAATGTCAGCTTACTAGTATTAAAGGTTGATGCACATTATTAAAACGAAACTTTAATTTTAATTGGAGAACCAAATCAACAATACTGGGACTGTGCTTAAATTTTATGCTTTTTTAAATTGTAAATTGTTAAATACATTGGCCTTAGTCTGCGACTATGTTGAATGTAATACAATTTATGGGTTCCTTGGCTTCAAACCACTTACATGGTTCAAAAACAGCTAGATATTTTGATGGAAAAAAAGAAAAGAAAAGAAAAAGATTTAAGGTGATTTCTTTTTGTATTCCTTTTCTTCATCTGAATGCATCAATTTTTTCCATCTTCTGGAAATCAGATTTTTGAAGATACTATTTTCTAAATTAAATTATGTGAGTCATTTTAGAACATTAAATTTTGAAAGGTGGTCAAAAAGAAATTGCCTAAATTTAATATTCTACTTTAAATTTTGTACTAATGAAATCTACGTAATAGAAAAAATCTCCCATCTCTCATTGAACTCTTTATGAAAGAGATTTTTTTATTCTGCATCACTTTTTTTCAGTTGTAAGATTTTATTATACTTCTGAAATTTAACTTTTTAAAAAAATTAAATGCATATTTAGAATTTACTTTTTGAAAATAATTTTATATGTCCCAAAAATTAAATTTTAAAAATGACAAAAAAAAGGAGTAATGCAAATAAAAAGAGTGTGTAAATAAATTATCTATAAAAAAGACGAGATCTCCTAATAAATTGAGAATTTTTAATATTAATTAACTCAAATAGTGTGCTTTTTTCAGGTGAATTTTTATATCAAAATAACACATTGTTTGAGGTATTTAATAAATTAATAAAAAAAGTACATTTTATCTTCTTATATGTTTTATTACATGCAATTTAGATTCTAATTCTTAAAGTAGGTAACATAATATTTTATACTCTTAAAAGTGTAAAAAAAAAAAAAAAAAACTTTCCGTTACTTAGCTGTTCGATTTCTCTGTTTCTTGACAATAATACTCCATGCATCATTTTGTACACTGTTTTAGTTTAAGAAATAGAAAAATTAGACACGAAGTGACAGAAAAACCTTTTTTTTTTTACACTTTCAAAATTTAAAGTCTGAAGTGCATTTGACCAAATATAAATGTTAGTAAATTAGACCTTTTTCTAAATTAATTTAGCATATTTATTTTTAATATATATAATTTAAACGTAATCCACTGAAAAAAGCACAATTCGTGCCTTGATTATAATAAAAAAATTACACATACTTTTGTAAAAATATTAAATATAATTCAAATTATGATAATATTAAATTAGTACTAATATCTTTTAAAATAAAAAACAATCATCAGGACAAAAATAATAGACATTAATTCTTTACATTTTTGTGCATTTTCATTTTACACTGTATAATAATCTTGTTTAATATATTTGATATATTTAAATTAATTTTTAAACATTAAAATTAACACATTATTATAACTACATCTTATTGTAAAATTTAAGCCCCTAGTCTAAATTTTTCTTTCTTAAGGTAATTAATCATTCAGTAACAAGTAAGAAACAAAAAATAAAACAAAATAAAAAACTCTCCATCCATTGATGTATAACATTACTATACTCTTTGATGATGAACTACCGTTGAATGGAATTTTTATGATTTTTAAGTGTTAGCGGGAGACAACCTTTAATATGAAAGCAAAGAAAAATGGCAACCCACCCAACTTCTCTTTATCATGTAAATTGCTTTAGTTTATTGTGTATTATTGGTCATTGATCCCATTACTTTGTGCCTTTCGGCTATGCATGAAAAAACAAACTCATGAGGGTGGAAATAACCATTCCTCATGCGTTGCGTAGTTTTAAGTCTTTTGGTCTTCTCCACGTTCCTTTCATTACTCTCATCATTCATTTTTGTGACAATCTTTTCAGTTTCCTAGTTCTTCGTTTTGGATACCCAGATAGAGTTAAAACTTCACAATGAACAGTACTCCATCCATTTTCCATACTAATTACAACCTTTCTTCTCAATTCTCATGGCTCTGCAACCATCCTCATCCTCTTCCTTCACCTAAAGATTCAGTTGTGATGTATTCCTCAGCTTTAGAGGCTTAGATACTCGTCACGGTTTCACTGGTTATCTCTACAAAGCTCTTTGTGACAGCGGAATCAGCACCTTCATTGACGATGAGGAGCTTCAGAAAGGGAAGGAAATCACACCATCACTTCTTAAGGCAATTGAAGCATCTAGGATTGCCATTGTCGTGCTCTCTAACTACTATGCATCATCATCGTTTTGCTTGGACGAACTTTCCAACATCCTTCATTGCGTTAACCAAAAGGGTCGGTTGGTTTGGCCTATTTTCTATTATGTGGATCCTTCCCATGTAAGACATCAAACAGGTACCTATGAAGAAGCATTGGCTAAGCACGAGGAGAGGTTTCATAGATAACAAGGAAAAGATCAAGAATTGGAGAAATGCTTTGCAACAAGTAGCTAACTTATCTGGCTGGCATATCAAGCATGGGTACGTGTTAGAAGTAATTCTAACCAATAGATAGGATTAGTTGAATAAATTAGTTTAACATTTTATCATTCCTAACTATCAGTTTGTTTTAGTTGTTTCTTGTGTATGCTATAAATACCAATTTTTCGTAAAAGATGAAATATACATAATACATTCTCTCTCATTTTTCCTCTCTCTGTTATTGCATTTCGTGAGTGTATTTAAGTTTTTGCTCTTGCTCCAACAAAATTGGTATCCTGAGCCAAGGTTTCGATTGAGGGATCTTTGCGACACATACAATGGGATCAACTGGCGCGAATTTCTCAGCAAATCTTCCCGTTCTCAATGGAAAGAACTGGGATCGGTGGTGTGTGCAAATGAAGGCGATTTTGGGCTATCAGGAAGTTGCAGAAATTGTTGAAGAAGGTTATCCAACGCTCATTGAAGATTCCACAGAAGGACAAAAGGCGCTACACAAAGAAAATAAGAAGAAAGATTGTAAAGCGATGTTCTTGATTCATCAATGTGTTGATGAGGCGCACTTTGAGAAGATTGCAGGCGCTGCAACTTCGCGAGAAGCGTGGAAGATCCTGGAGAAATGCAGTGAAGGTGCAGAGCAATTAAAGAAGGTGAGATGATGAGGCGTCAATACGAATTAATGCAAATGGAGAATAATGAAAAGATAGCTGAACTCTTCAACAAAATACATTCTCTCTCACTTTTTCTCTCTCTGTTATTGCATTTCGTGAGTGTGTTTAAGTTTTTTCTCTTGCTCCAACAAAATTGGTATCATCACTCACACGAATGCCATGAAGAATTGTGGTGAGAAAATCTCAGATCAAAGAATTGTAGAAAAGATTCTGAGAACGCTCAATCCCAAATTTCGACCACATTGTTGTAGCCATTGAAGAATCCAAGAAGCTTGAGGAATTGAAGGTAGAAGAACTTCAAGTTCTCTCGAGGCACATGAGCAAAGACTCATTGAAAGAGGTTCAGAGAAGCCTGGTGAACATCAAGCACTGCAGGCTCAGACATCAAGAAGAGGACGCTACAAAGGAAAATTCAGAGGTCGAGGTCGTGAGAGAGATTCCAGAGATGGCTTCAGAAAAAATGTTGAAAGCCAAGAAAGAGGAAAGATTGATCAAGATCAACAAGAAAGTTCTAATAAAAGAGGGAACTTTAATAATTGGCGAGGAGGAAGAAAAAAAATTGATAGGAAAAGGAATCAAATGCTTCAATTGTAATCAAATTGGACACTTTTCTACAGAATGTACAACCCCAGCAAGTCACGCAGATCATCAAGGAAGCCAGTCACACGAAGATTATCATGCACACATGGTTAAAGAAGAGAATGAAGCGAACTTCGAGGAATAACCTTTGATGCTAATGATGATCACCAATTCAGAATCTTATAACAATGAAGTATGGTACATAGATTCTGGATGTTCCAATCATATGATTGGACATCGAGATTGGATTGTCAATTTTGACCCAAAGAAGAAAAGTAATGTGAAATTTGCAGACAATAGAGCCACTCAGGGTGAAGGTTCTAGAAATGTTCTAGTCAAAAAAGAAGATGGAAGACAAGCAGTGATTACAAATATTTTATATGTTCCTGGAATGACCACTAACTTGATTAGTTTGGGTCAGCTCTTGGAGAAAGGATGTTCAGTGAATTCAGTTAAATGTTTTCTAGAAATTTATGACAAAGCAAAGAGATTGGTGATGAAAGCTCCATTGGCCAAGAACAGAACCTTCAAGGTAAGCTTAAACACTATTGAATCTCAGTGTCTTTCCGCTGCTACTTTGTCAGATGATTCATGGTTATGGCATCTTAGACTTGGCCACTTAAATTTTAGAGATATGAATCTCCTGAAATCTAAAGAAATGTTAACTGGTCTTCCTTCAATTAAAATTCCTAAGAAGATATGTGACACTTGCTTAATCAACAAACAACCCAGGAATTCATGCAGCAATTTTACTGCTTATAAGGCCAATGAAATACTGCATATTGTTTACTCAGATGTCTGTGGACCTTTTGAGACTCTATCATTAGGAGGAAATATATATTTTGTCTCTTTTGTTGATGATAGAAGCAAGAAAGTGTGGCTTTACCTAATTAAAGTCAAGAGTGAAGTGTTCAATATTTTTAAAGATTTCAAAGTTCTTGTTGAAAAGCAATATGGAAAGTACATTAAAATTCTGAGAACAGATGGCGGAGGTGAATTCACATCTGGAGAACTTGAAAATTTGTGTAAAGAACATGGTATAGGTCATGAGGTAACTGCTCCATACACTCCCCAACACAATGGCATTGCAGAAAGAAGGAATAGGACAATCTTGAACATGGTTAGAAGCATAAAGAGAAGAATCTTCCTCACAGTTTCTGGGGTGAAGCAGCTATGACAGGTGTATATATTCTGAAGAGGTGTCCAACCAAGAGGCTTGACTCTATGGTTTCAGAAGAAACTTGGTTAGGAAGCAAACCTTCAGTCAAACATTTTAGAATTTTTGGATCTTTATGTTATAGACATGTTCCTGATCAGAGGAGAAAGAAGTTGGATGACAAGAGTGAGCCAATGATTTTTGTTGGATACAGTTCTACTGGTTCATACAAGTTATATAATCCAAAGATTCAGCAAGTTCTATTCAGTAGAGATGTCTACTTTGATGAATTAAGCTCATGGGGAGAATTTCAGTCTACTTTTGAGACAATACAGAAGATTCAGCTTGAATGGAATGATGATCTAGTGAGAGAAATACATCCAGAAGTGATTAATAATGAACCTCAGGTGGAAGTTGATAGATTTACAAGAGTAAGAAGTTTTTCCTTGAGACTCAGAGATTATCAGATTTACTCTGATAGTGTAATTACTGATGATGGTGATTTAGTTCAGCATATGGCACTTATGGCAGACATGGAACCTATTACTTTTGAGGAAGCTGTCTCTAAGGAAGTATGGAGATCAACAATGGAGGAAGAATTGAAGAGCATTGAAAAAATGATACATGGGAAATGGTAAATTTACTTTAGAACAAAAAGCCTATTGCTGTTAAATGGGTTTTTAAAACTAAACTCAAGCCTGAGAAACGATTGCCAAACATAAAGCCAGGTTGGTGGCTAAAGGATTCATGCAGAAGGAAGGCTTAGACTATACTAAAGTATTTGCTCAAGTAGCAAGATTGGAGACTGTAAGATTGATTGTTTCATTGGCTAGTTGGAGAAATTGGAAACTGTGGCAACTAGATGTCAAGTTAGCCTTTCTAAATGGGCCACTTGATGAAGAAGTATTTGTGGTACAACCTCCTAGCTTCATATGTAAAGGTAAAGAACAGAAGGTTCTGAGACTGAAGAAAGCCCTATATGGCTTAAAACAAGCACCTAGGGCATGGAACAAAAGAATTGATTCTTTTCTCACTGGTTTTGGTTTTCAGAAATGCTCAGTCGAGCATGGTGTGTATATCAAAACAGTAGGTGAAACTGAGATTTTGATATTGTGCTTGTATGTTGATGATTTACTTATAACTGGTAATAGTTTGACTGCCATTGAATCACTCAAGCAAAGATTGAAGATTGAATTTGAGATGACCGATCTAGGTATTCTATCTTATTTTCTGGAATGGAGTTCGCCTACACTGAGAGAGACATTCTCATGCATCAAAGAAAGTATATTTATAAAGTCCTGAAGAAATTTAAAATGATGGGTTGTAAACCAGTAGAGACTCCAGCTGAATTGAATGTGAAACTTGTAAAGAGTGAAGATGAGGGCTCTGTTGATGAAACTATGTTCAGGCAGGTTGTTGGCAGCCTGAGATTTATTTGTCACAGCAGGCTAGAAATAGCCTTTAGTGTTGGTTTGGTCAGCAAGTTCATGAGTGATCCTAGATAATCACACTTGACTGTAGCTAAAAGAATCATGAGGTATCTTAGAGGAACACTCGAATATGGCATTTTGTTTCCTCATCACACCAAGGGAGATGATGGTCTACACCTTGTAGCCTATTCTAATTCTGACTGGTGTGGTGATCTGGTTGACAGAAGGAGTATCATGGGGCAAGTGTTCCTGTTGTCAGGATCTCCTATATCTTGGAATTCTAAAAAGCAAACAGTAGTAGCGTTGTCTACTTGTGAGGCTGAATACATTGCAGCTTGTGCAGCTGCCTGTCAAGCTTTATAGTTATCCTCTTTACTCAAAGAATTGAAGGTGTTTACTGGTGAGGCAGTGGATTTGTTGGTAGATAGCAAATCAGCAACTGATTTGGCTAAGAATCCTGTGTCACATGGTAGGAGCAAGCACATAGACACCAAATTCCATTTCCTCAGAGATCAAGTAAGTAAGGGAAATATCATACTATAGCACTGCAGAACTAAGAAACAACTTGCTGACATTATGACCAAGTCTTTGAAGAGTGAAAGGTACAAAGAGTTAAGAGAATTTTTAAATGTTGTTAGTTTGTAATTGGTTTGAATCAAGGGTGTTAGAAGTAATTCTAACCAATAGATAGGATTAGTTGAATAAGTTAATTCAACATTTTATCATTCCTAATTATCAGTTTGTTTTAGTTATTTCTGGTATGCTATAAATACCAACCTTTAATAAAAGATAAAATATACAAAATATATTCTCTCTCACTTTTCCTCTCTTTGTTATTGCATTTTGTGAGTGTATTTAAGTTTTTGCTCTTGCTCCAATAGTACGTTCTTATTATATCATGTTTTTCCCTTTTATTATAACTTGACTAATGCAAATCACTATCACAAACACAAACATGATGTATTAGTATAAGTATGACTTCATTTCTTTTATTTGATAGGGATGGATATGAACACGAATTTATTGGAAATATCGTTCAAGAGGTCTCAAGAAAGATCAATCGGGTTCCTTTTCTGTTGCTGAATATCCATTGGAATGGAGTCTCGGTGGTAGAAGTAATTTCATTTTTGGATATTGGGTCTAATGATGAAGTTCACATGATAGGGATCCATGGAATCGGTTGTATAGGTAAAACGACCCTTGCTTTGGCAGTTTATAATTCAATTGCCGATCATTTTGAAGGTTTATGTTTTCTTGAAATGTCAGAGAAAATTTTAGAAAACATGGAGGACTATATCTCCAAAAGATCATTGTTTCTAAAACAGTTGGAGAGGTGAAAAATGAGTTACAAGTGTCAATGAAGGAATTTCAATCATTAATCAGAGGCTCCAGCACAAGAAGGTTCTTTTGATTCTAGATGATGTTGACAAGAGAGAGCAATTACTGGCTATTGCTGGGAGACCTGATTGGTTTGGTAATGGCAGTAGAGTGATCATCACAACTCGTGACAAACAGTTGCTAGTACGTCATGATGTTAAAGAACATATGAAGTGGGAGAGTTGAACAAGGAAGATTCTTTTGAATTGCTCACGTTGAATGCTTTTAAAACTGACAAATTTAGTTAAACTTATGTGGACATCTTCAACCGTGCAATCACTTAGGCTCTAACTTGTTCGGAAAGAGCATAGAAGAATGGAAATCTGCATTAGACCAGTAACATTGAAATAATACACTGGAATCTCTCGTATAGTAAAAAAACATAGTAGAATGGAATGGAAAGGCGTTCAAGAAAATGAAAAACCTCAAAACACTCATTATTGGAAATGGTCATTTTTCCAAAGGTCCTGAGCATCTTCCAAAGAGTTTAAGAATAATGTTTTGTTGGACATATCCTTCCCCTTATTTACCTTCTGATTTTTGCCCAACGAATCTTGTAATATTCAAGTTACCCTGTAGTTGACATCAAATGAGTGGGTCGGCTTAGGGAAGAAGGCAAGATTCATTTCCCTATCATGTTTATTAATGACTTCACCTTTTGATTATTATTCATTTCGTTCTTTGTTTATTTCTTTTTGTAGAAGTTTTACAACGTGAGTCTTAAACTTGGATCAGTGCGATTGTTTAACACTGATACCTGATGTATCTGGTCTGCCAAATCTAGAAGAATTATCATTTGAACTGTGTCAGAATTTAATTGCAATAGATGACTCGGTAGGGTTGCTGAGTAAACTTAGAAGTCTTGAGAACTGGTTTTTGTGAGAAGCTTATGAAATGTCCACCCCTCAAGTTAACCTCCCTTGAATACCTGGACCTTCATGACTGTTCTAGTCTTGAATATTTTCCAGAAATATTAGGTATATAACAAAGCTTGATTTCTTGGGAGGCGTTGGCTCTTGCATGAAGCAAGTGCCACATTCCATTGAAAATCTTACACGGCTAGCATTGAAATTTTCATGATGCCAGAGTTGACTCGTGTCACTATGGTGGGAAACAAAACGGAGTGTGAGATACACCTAAAAGAGGACGATTACAAAGGTGAAGAAAAAGCAAGTTCAATGCTGTCACTTGAATTGTTGCAAGCGACTTCGAGAAATTAGAGGGATTCCGGCGAACTTAGAACATTTCTCTGCAGCAGAATGTGAATCCTTGAGTTTCTCACAGAGAAGCATGTAGAGGGAAATGGGATCAACTCTTCCGATTCCTTGTATTTGTATGCCAACAAAGATTTATGTACATTATGTCCCATCATTTTTATACTAAATATTTTATTATCACTTAATACACTTTTAGAAAATCAGGCCATCTAGTTGTATTAATATTTAAATAAACAAATAAATAACCTTGACTTAGCTTTATATTCTTATTTCATTTGTTTAGTCATTGTAATTTTAGAGTAACAAAAAACATTCTTTGCATTCTATTTATGACAATATTATATTATGTATAGCAACAGAATTAATTGAGCAGGTATCATAATATCCTTCAAATATCTCACATTATATTACGTGTTATCACAAACGACTTAGATTTTAAAGCCTAGGTGCATGTCACAACAAACCTCTTCAAATCGTATATATTTATTAGTTTAGTAGCAATGCATAAATATTCTATTTTGGGATAAATATATATAATTTAATAATTAAAAACAAAATTTTATAATTTTGTAAATAAATATATATCAAATAAAATTATTTCAAATAATAAATTTTAAAAATATTTTAACTTAACTATATAATTATGAATATTATATATCAAAGTGATTAAGATTTAAAAAATTAAATAAATTTAGAATATAGTTGTTTTAAAATAATACTTTTATGGTATAATGTCAAAAAAAAATTAATTAGATGTCAATAATCAATATATATTAATAATTATAAATTTAAGAAATAAGACTCTTAAAAGTAAAGTCCAAATTCAAATAAAAAAAATTTAAAATAATTTTATAAGTATAAAATAGATATTTATGAAAAATTTAAATAAGATAATAAAGAAAAGTTAAGTAATAATTTTAATCTTTAAAATTTAGAAAATAATTAAAAAATATATGAATAAAGAGTAAAATCATTACAACAAGATAAAATGTAATTTAATGAAAGTAATTCTGTTAATGCTTCACTTCTCAAATAATAAACTTTTATTTATAATATAAAAGTTACTTGTTACAAGCTCTTTAAAATTTTTATTATATGCACTACATAAAGTAAAGAAAAAAGTACATCAAAGCAAACTAATATTAATATTAAATGAGTAAAAAATTTACAAATAATAAAGGTTTTAATTTAATTTTACAACCCTAGATAATAAAGAGAATTATATTTTATTTTGCTTGTTTCAATTTATATTTATTTTTTATATTTTATATTTTATTGCACTGAAACTTTATTTAAATATTTAATAATGTAATATATGTTTAGCTTAATTATATTTTTAGTTCCTATAAATATTGAACATTTTACGATAAATTCTTATAAATTTTTTTATTAGGATTTAGTTTATGAAAAGTTAAGAAATTAGGTTTAATCTTTACCGTCAATTCCTTTTTGTTAAGTGCTGAGGTGACTGACGGACTATCAGTTCAACACTCTTAAATGATGTATCATGTCACATGGCACCATGTAGAAGTATTGACGGAAAGAAGTTGATGGCAGGGACTAAATTGTAATTTATTAACTTTTCAAGGATTAAATTCTAAAAAAAAAAAATTATAAAAACTTATCGCAAAATATCTTATATTTATAGGGACAAAAAATATAATTAAACCTATATGTTAATACTAACATTTAAATATAAATTTAACTTTCATTAATGTTCAATCTGTCAATTTTAATTTGTCATACTTTTACTAATTAAGGGTTAAAATATTTTAGATTTGGTTGATTATATAAGTTAAATAGTTGATTTTTTTTTTGAAAATTTAAATAATTATGTGATTTACTATTACTTTTTTATATATAAATTAATTTTTTTTTTATTATTACAGAGGCTAAAGCATAAATAATAAAAAATTACAATATTTTTCTAGGAGAACAAATCTCATAATTATTCTCTTTAAGGATAAAAAACATGGAATCTCAAAGAGAATATAAGAAAACTAATTCTAAGCCAACTTTATGTCCTAAATTTGCAAGATGTTTAACAAATTTGTTAGCCTTTCTAGAAATATGGACTAACGACAATTCATAATTTAGGTTTATCTTTTTTTTGTTCCACCAATGTTAAATAATAGTGAAATGGTTCACAAGATTTCTTGATTAGATTGATAACAACTAAAGAGTTTATTTCTTTAATAACCTTTCATGAGTAAAGGGTTGCATGAACTCTCAAACCATGCAAAAGGCTCAATATTTCAACTTTTAGAATAGTTTAACTATCCAAAATTCAATAAAATCCTTGCACAAAATGACTACTTGCATTTATGATAGTAGTTCAACAAGTTGCTCTACCAAAAACTAGAAGTAAAGAACTATTAAATCATTGTTGCACCATTTAAGATTGAAGCTCATTAATGGAACATTAGCTTCCTTTTAATCTAATTAATGTAAATAATAGTATGTTGATGTAAGTTTGAGTAAAGTTCAAAGTTTCAATAAACTAAATGATTTTTATCCTTCTAAATTAACCAAATAGATATCCAACGAAAGTTCTTCAAGAGTATTTGACCAATCTCATAAGATTAATTGACCAAAGTCATGGAACTATCAAAAAGATTAAAATTTAACCAAAAAGTTACAACTTTGCTAAAAAACTACATTAAGGTTCCTAATCATTAATATTGTTCCAAAATTCTTTCACATGAATGGATATTGTCTTTAAGGTTATGCATAATAGATTCAGGAGCATCATTATAGTAAGGGTAAATGTCAAAGTCAACAAAATCTCTACGCTTCATTTATAGATTAGTTAGGAGTTAACCATGAGCAACTCTCCAAATAAATATTTTTATTCTTTACAGATCCTTTTAATTTTCAAAGTCTAAACAAACAAAAGAATTATTAGACTGATCCAACATAGTTAAGGATTCATATTGTAATTTCAATGAAAAAAATTTCATTTGGAGATGAAGATCATCTTCATCATTTGGTCTTGGAGGAATGATGCAAGCATTGTCATTAGAAATTGAAATAGGAAGGTTATCATTCAAAGATTCCCAATCCCAAGTATCATTCTTAACAAAAGAATTCACAGTAAAATTTTGACTACCAATATTAGTGACCCAAATATCTTCCTAAAATCTAACTGAACTCCCATTACCAATTACTCATGCAACATTGTTCTTAACAAAATCTAATATTTAAACCAAACTACCTCAAATATTAGAAGTTTTGGCCATCTAGCTTATTAACAATAGGAATAGGAATATTAGACACTCCACAATTATATTTTTTATTTAGAACTCTAGCCTATAAGGCTTAAGGTTACAAAATTAGTTGCCAACTAAGCTTGATCACATAAGCTAATTTAGTCACTCTAAGAATCTAAATCAAAGACGATAATAAGACTTAGGCTCATAAAGTTCTTTTTCTTAATAGCGCTACCTCAAATAAAGCTTATGCACAATTTCTCTATTTTATCTAAAATTGTAGTCAGGACACAAGCTAGGGCAAGAGTCACTCTAACAACAATAGATAAACTACTATTCCTCAAACATAAGAGTTTATTTCTCACCTTGTCAATAAGAAAAGAAAATGAATTGTAGGAAGGTTAAGAGTTTGTCATAGGCACTACCAAATACATGCACACATTATCCTTGGGCTTAATTTCAAGGCTTAAAGATTAAAATAATGCAATTATAAAAAATAATTATTAAAATAATGTAAAAAAGAAAATAATTCCCTGTCTGGGGCGTTTTTTGGCCACATCAGCTATAATTTCGTATAAAAGTCAGACGAAACAAGTTTTGATTAATTTTTATTTGATCATTTCGTATTAAAGATAGACAAAATACGGGGAGCAGAACACGTGGCAGTAGTTTCATATAAGGATGAGACGAAAAGGGTTAAATATTTTGAAATAAAGTTTCCCGCCAGAGGACACGTGGCCCAATCAACGTGTTTCGTCTCTGCGTTAGACGAAAGCATCTTTTCGTCTGACGCAGAGACGAAACACGTTGATTGGGCCACGTGTCCTTTGGCAGGAGGTCACCGACGCTCCTCCTTCATTTCTCCTCTTCCGTTTCGAGAACTCCCGCAAACCTCCATTGTTGACGATCTGGACCTTCGGTGAGGTTATTTTTTATCATTTTAGAGTGAGTTTTGAGTGTGATTAGTGATACATTGCACAAAACTGTCCAGATCGATTGAGTTTGGAGTGATTTGTGGTGTTGTTGTTCTGAAACTTTGAGAAAGTTGGGAGAACGGAGAATAGGAGGTCGTTGGCAGAGAGACGTTACGGTCCAGTGGAGTTGTTGCCGTGTGGAGTTGTTGCTGTCGTTGAGAACCCACTGTCGCCGGAAAACGTACTGTCCGCCCCTGCCGCTGTCCCCCACCCCCTCTCCATCAATCCAGGTTTTTCAATTTCTGAAAAAATTTTAAATTTTATATTTATTAATAATAGTAAAAGGTTGAATAAAATTTTATTACAGTAATATTAGATTAAAAATTAGAGTAATATTAGATTAAAAATTTGTAGATATATCAACATAATCAGAATTTGTATAATTAAATTTTGACAATAATATTAATAAAAAAATTAGAGTTTACACTTAGAATAATTAGAATTTGAAGTAAAAAATTTTAAAAATTGTAAAAAATAATTAAAAATCAAATAATAAATAGTTAAATAAAATTGAAAATAGAAAAATATAAAATAGTTGTATGGTTGATTAATTATATAAGAAATAATAAATAGAAAAAAGTGTAACAAAATTATAACATAAATTATGTTTTTTAAATTAAATAACATTTAAGAATATAAATTAAAAGATTGATTTATGATTAATGAACAGATAATTACAAAAATGTTAAGAAGGTAAAAATTGAGAGCATTAAAATTAAGCATATACATTTATATAAAAAGATTATAGTAGCAAAAATTTGAGTTTATTAAATAATTAAAAAAAATAAAATATATTTATTTATGGTTAATTATGGTTTATGGTGAAAATTATTGGAGTAATATTAAATAATTGAAAATAAATAATTAGAATTATATAAGTTTATTTATGATAAAATAATAAGTGTATATATTGAATTTAAATTTTAGAGTAATACTAATAAGATGAAATTAAGTTATTAATTATAAAAAATTATAATCTTGGTAGAAAAAATAAATTTAGTAATGTAATTTAAGTTATTAGAGTGATATTAAATAATATAGAATAAATAATTATAATAATAATTATGTAATATTATTTATGATTAAATTATAAATTTATTTATTGAATTTTTAATTTAGATCGATATTAATAAGATGAGATTAAGTAATTATAATTAAATTATTTAATCTTTAATGAAATAAGAACTTTAGTTAGGTAATTTAAGTTATGGGGTCATATTTGTTCGTTGAGAAAAAAGAATTATAATTATAATTATGTAATATTATCTATGATTCATCCTAGTCACCAAATATTCTTACAATCGCCTTTTATTTTGCCTTCCAAGCTTTTTTGTATGAAATTTTATATCCAAATTGAGTTGTCATCTTTTCTTGAATTAGACTTATAGGCAATGATGGTTCAAGATTAACCATACCTACACAAAACAAAAATAAAAATTGGTAAGTATCTTTACAGAGAAAATACATCACGAAATCAGAGATTATTCAAAACTTACCAATTATGCATGAAGAAATCAAATCTGAATCTAGTTTGGTATGGTCTTGAGATATTGTAGAGTTGAGACATTTATGCTTACCCCCACACCTTGTTATTTTCCACTTCACTGAATTTTTTAGCAATGATGCTCTTATTCTTCATGGGCAACCATTGTTATGGTTTAAACACTTCACATGTAACTTTATTGGTTTTGAGTCAACAACAAAATAATTATGATGTATTCTCATTGCATGTTGTTTTAAGACATTTTTAACTTCATCTTTTGAGTTAAATAACAAACCCACATATAACGAATCTCCAATAACCCATGAATTATCTTCACTAATTTCTTCTGCTTCAATTTCTTCGTCTAGGTGGTCCCAATTAATATATTTGTAGTGTGGACTTACATTCCAAAAAGGTATTTCACCTACAGCTACATTTAAACATACAATATTCATCATTAAAATAAAATAAACAATTTAATTAATTTACTTTTTAAATCTTACCTCCAACATTTTCTTGTTGTAAATTTAAGTTTGAATCAAAATCACCATCAATGTCTGTATCTGACGAGCTGTCTAAAGGAATATGTCCTTCATCAATATCATTTGTCTCATCATCATTATTGACTTCATCATCTTCATCTTCATAACTGCATAAATCTCCACATCTTTCAAAATACAAACACTTATTCAATATATGTTGTCACTAAAAAAATTTAAAAATAAATTATAACAATATAATTTATACCTTCTGTAACATTTATATTGACCATTTCCATAAGGTTAGGCGGTGACATTGATAAGCTTAAGTCCAACATATTCGACCCACCTCTTGAACTTTTACCAAATGCAATATCCACATATAATTCAATAAGACTTGTAATACTTTGTTGTTGATACGCACTAATCATACAATCAATATCGTCATTATCATATATATCCAATGCATTGTATTGTTTAGCGCTTGAATCAACCATAAAACGAAAAATTATTCTAGATATGACATGATTATTACTAAGATTCAATTTGTCATGAATCTTTTTCTTTAAATTCATATAACTTATCCCTCTTCTTATCTTTATCATTTTTTTGTTACCTTCAAATTTCACACCTTCGTTTCCAACAATAATTTTTCCATTCCAATATACAATAATAATAATCTCATTCATCCTGCATTTATAAAACAAAACATATCAATAATTATTTACAATTATACTTATTTATATAAATAATTTATTTGTAACACAAACATATTATTATTTTTCACATCATTTTTATATTATAAAAAATGTTATATCTTTAATACATATTCAATTTATATATAATAAAATATTCACAATAAATATAACATTATTTTTTTAATTAAACAAATTTATATTAAATATCTACTAAACTTTTATATTTTTTTTATAATTATCTTAAATATTAAATTTTAATTTTAATATACACAATAATATATTTATTAAATCTTCATAAATTTTAACTATCTCTATTTATAATAATTAAAAATTTTTAATAACTAAAATATTAAAAAAAGTTTTGAAATATTAAAAATTTTTAATAACTATCTCTATTTACAACCTCAAAAATTTGCTTTCAATCTTCAAACTGCAGGAATAGCTTTCAATTTGAGATTTAGATATATCCCTTTCAATTTCACGACCCACCTTTCAAATTTTCATGCTGATTTTGACCCAGATTTCAAACATCATATATAGGAAATTTTGGCTGGATAAAAGGGTGCAGCAAAAATGAAAGGACCGCGGGATAAAAGGGCTTTCGTCTGAGATATAGGCGAAATGACATCTTTTCATCCTGACAGGAGGCGAAATGAGTCCCTTTTTCGTCTTGTTTGTGGACGAAATTATAAGATTCAAACACGTGTTCAAATCCTATACTTTCGTCCTGGATTGAGACGAATTTCTAGTATTAAGACACCTGTCCTTCGTTTCGCCTCTGACAGATACGAATTGAGTGATGGGTGTCAACATATAACGTATTTCGTCCCTATTTTAGGCGAAATGATTAAATTTAAACTAAAAAAAAATTATTTTCATCTGATTGGTATACGAAATACATGCTGACGTGGCAAAAAAAAAAACCCCAGACAAGAAATAAGTTTTAATTTTGTTTTAATTTGATTATTATTTTTTAAAAAAGCTTTATTTTAATCATTAAGCCTAATTTCAAGCATATTCATAATATAATAAAAGGATTGACTCTTGACATTTCCTTTATTGATTTTTGACCCAAACACTTGCAAAAATCAATGAGAATATAAAACTAATAGTAACTTGATTTCAAATTCACTTAAACCACTAAAATTAAGTCATCCACAAACATTAGATGAGATATTTTATGCTCATTACAGCCAAACATAAAAGGTTCTCGTTTAACCAAATTATTTGCATCATTAATAATATAAAAAGTCTATTAGTATATAAAACAAAGATATAAGGAGATATAAGATCTATGTGACGAATTCCTTGAAGGAAAGAACTTGATAGAAGGTCTACCATACTAGCTTATACTCATAGAAGAAGATGATATACAATGGTTTATAATATTAATTAATTTATAATCAAGCCTTGCATAATGGAGTAACTTAGTCACAAAGTTTAAATGAAGATTATCATAAGCTTTTTTTAAATCAATTTTCAGAATCATATAACTCATTTTACCTTTTAAATTATTGAAGGAATAAACTAACTCCTAAAAAATAACATTTTAAGAGTCAGTTTTCTCAAAATAAAATTATACTAAAAAGGACTTCTCCTTATTTATATGTCCTTTTGTTGGGTTGACATATTATTAACTAGGCTATTGCCTATTGGGCTAAACCTTAGCCCAAACATTTGGAAACCTATCTTATCGAATCCCAGCTTAAATAATTGCTCTTTTATGTTTTGAAAAATAATAAAGTTCTTTGCCACCTTACTTTATTTGTTTATTTTTTGAAACATAACCCGTTTTACTCATCATAATGGTAACTTGCCACATTTTCATTAATTTCTTCCTTAACAACCTTAATAAATTCCCCTCTTTCTTTTAACCATGTTACTCATATCTTTATTTGATGTTCTGTAAAACTTATCTTTTTTCCTTTTGCATTATAGCCTCATCACCTTTTCTTGATGTAGAGCTTTCCTATGGAGATGCCACTTTTGAATCAAATCCTAACGGTTCTCAAACTAAATTGACTTCTCATTCTATGTTATTTGATATTTGTCTTCAATTATCCATTCCTTAGTTTGAGCTGTTAAATGCATCAAGTCGTTGGGTGCTCAACATTCCTTCTCTTGAATGCAACTTCAACCCAACCTATTCTCCAGGAAATAACTTATTCTCTGTCAAGCCAACAAGTACTCTCTTTTTAGACATGCAGGTTCACCTTTCTTATTCGATAATACAAAATCCTTCTTCACTCATGGGCCTTTCCTTGCTTTGCTCTCATTTAATTCATTAAGAATTTTCTCGATTGCCCTTATGTTTCATATCACATGTCTCTTTAATGGGTGAATGAGTAGATTGGGTTGCATATATTTTTTCTCCTGATCTGAATTTGGTTACCATCTTAGAGTGAGTAGGCATCGCAGAGGCTATCAGTGCATCTCTTGGACTTTTGACTATAATCCAATCTCTTTTGCTCTCATAGATTTACAATACATCCCTAACCTTGTCTTGCTAGTTCTCTCATGTCTTCTCTCAAAGTGTCAAGTTATGTAATACGCATCTAACTGATATGGATCATAAGGCATGTACTCAACCATACCAAACTGATGCATGACTTGATCGGGTTGATGTTACTCACACACCTAGAAACATATAAGTGATACTATAGCTCTCTACAAATCCATATCCTCACGATATATTGCAAGCAACAAATTAATCAAATAAATTGTATATGGTTGCCATACAATTTGCATTTCATCAACAAATATTAACCCTTATCAATATTAAACTGAATAACAAACATCAATGATAATAATAATATTATGTATACCAAAAATTAAAATAATGCCTCCTTATGACTTAGGTAATCAAATTTATATATATAATAATGAAGGTTCTTCTTTTCCTTCCTATAACCCTAGTTTGATAAGCACATGCAAAAAATGTTACAAAAATAACCATTATATGAGAAATAAATGGCAAATCATAGTATATTAACCAACCAATGCAAAGTCAAATGCGTACAATGCTTCAAAACATGCAAAAGATTGCCTTATGTGTGTGTGTGATTACCCGAAGCTAATTAGGAGAACCTATCTCATTACCACATGACAATCAATGCAGTAAGGCCTCTTATACTAGTCTGATCAATATTGGAGGTGATGCAATGTAACATCCTTATTTTATTCAAAACAATAAGAAAATAAGTTCAGAATTAAGAAGAAAAAATTTAGTTAAATCCATTTACCATTCGAATATAACAAGTGGAATTATAAAATATTTGGTTTATTTTGCTCAACTTACAAAAACTTAAATGACAAAGTAATAAGAATTAAACCAATTTTAAGAGGAAACATCAAAATAACATTAATATACATTGTTCTTATAATGTACAAGATGTTGACATTTGTAAAATATACATAAAAATACATTAGGACTCATTTACAACATTTACAAAATACAAAATATAACAAATCTTAATGAGCAGTCTATCCACCAAAAAGACTAATAAAGATACTAGTTATCTCCATGCCAACTCTCGATCGCCTCAATGTTGTCGAAATCGAGATCATCATCTAATTCTAGATATCGATCGCTTGAGTTTGCAGTGGCCTGTCTACCAGTAATTCACTCAAAATTCCATCGAGACGGGCTTCCGAGGTAGTCATGATCATGATATGTGAACAGGTAGGCACAATTGCTGGGATTCTAACTGTATCATGATAAAGGTACATACACAAGATATGGTAGATTCTATTGTTTACAGAAAAATAAAAAAGTACACTAGGATAGTTTCATTTCTAGCATAATATAGTTACGAGGTACATTGTCCACATATAAGGCCAACTTAAAATAGCAAAATCTATGTACTTGTTAAATACATAGTTTACCCTATACTGTACAAAACTATCTATAAGCCTAATGCTCTCTCTGGGTACTGTCATTACCAAGCATAAGTTCACAATTAAGTCAACAATACAAATAAGGATATACAACAAACCATCATGCAACGAGATCATTAATTATTCAGCTTATAATATTTTCTGTCTATTAACACTCAGAATTATCATTTCATACTTTCATTGCCCCTGGGATCCCTTAAGGTCTTCCTTAGCATAGATAGTTGCTGGATAAACGCAGCTACACGAATACAACGTGTGCCAACCGACCCTTTTTAGCAAAAGCATGGTCAAGAGTTTAAGTTAGAAAGAAAGTGTGAGGCTCGTGATGCTCTTACTCTTATTTGTTACGCACAATTCAAAAAGAGCATCCACCACCCTCTTTTTCCCAAAATTTCTCAATCACCTCCATCTTTCACACTCCTAGTGTACCTGTGAACTATCCATACTTGTCCTTATCATATTCCTTCCTCATTTCACTTCTCTTTCCATATTTTCCATTTCATTTCTACATTTCTCATTATGGATTTATTCTTCTTATTATTTGCTGTAACCTGAGCTCATTATTGGTATCCTATCATATTATTCATCTTTTCATTTCTCAATTTTATTTAAGTTCATTACTACGTCACGTATAAATTAATCATTGCTAAGGGTTGGTCACCTTTAGACTCAATCCAAAACATACATGCATATATACTCGAAACAAAAATCATACACATCATCAAACACCACAAAACATGCTTTAAACATAACAAAAACATGTTCTCATCCAACATATACTCAAAATCATGCATTTCAACACAGTATTTTTGTGAACACAAATATATCACTTTCTTAGTAATAAAATAAAGCTCTCCTTACTTTGAAATAAAAGTTTAGTGAAGGGTTTTTGAGGGATCTTGATAAAAAAACTAGGTTCTTCCAAAATATCATAAGAGATCCTATTTAGAGGAGGAAAAATAGGAAAATAACTAAAGAAATGGAGAACTAAGTTTCAAGATCTTACCAAATAGCAAGAAGAGCAAACTTCCAAGCTTAGATCAAAGAAAAGTTGGAGCTTTTTAAGGATTTGCTGAGAAAATAAGGAGAGAGGTCAGAGAGAACGTAGAAGGGTTGTAACTTGGATAATAATCCAAGTTTTTCAACTTAGAAACCCTGAAATACCCTTCAACTCGTGACATTCTCGCTACAACGAAACCTTCTCTTGCTGCAGTGAAAAAACCAGACAAAATTACACTTTGCTATTTTTCATTCTAACTATAGCGAGAGCTCCCTGCTACAGTAAGAGTATCCTCGCTACAGCGAGAGAGCGTTATAGAGTTTGATTTTAGACGCTCATTTCTTGCTACAGCGAGACACATTTTGCTATAGCGAGAAATCCTGCAATTCATACACCTAAAACTCTCCTAATTTCAAGTAACAAGTATTAATAATTATTGTACAAAATAAAATTAATAAATAATAAAAATAGGAGTGTTACATGCAAAACTCTCAATAACTGACGATCCCTAACAATATTGACCAGTAACAACAATCCACAACTCCAAAAGAATAGAAATGTCCTATAGAATAATTGTACACTCTCTAAGAAGCAGGTAGAATATATGCGTCTCTAGTCTCCATCTTCAAATACAATAACACTCATATGTAATAAAAATTTATATAATTTCCTAACATCAAAATGAAATAACACTCATAATTAGTAACAATGTAATAAATTGTTTATTAATTTCATAACAATTACTAATCACAATATTTGTTATTATTTTTTAGGATTTTTTAATAAATAATAATAATAATAATAAAATTATATTATATTTATATAATAACTCCCTGTAATAACATTAATTCTACTAAATTTTTTATCAACTATTTCAATTTACATTATAATTATTTTATTAGTATAAATACTTTTTTCATTTATATTTTTTAATAAATACTCCAAGATTTTGTAATTTACTTATAAATAAATTTTATATGATTTATTACTATTGACCATGGAGAGGGGCATTAACACGTTATCGTTTTTCTCTAACAAGTTATGTTTAAATTAAAAACAAAACTTGTTTCAATTGCACCACGTGTCACACTTGTCTCCATTCAAATTTGAATTTTTTTTAAAGAAATTACTATTTTATCTATGGTGCAGACAAAATTTAATAAGTTTTGATATGTGCCATAATCTCTTAGTTTCGTATTTTTTGCAAAAAAATTTAATTAAAAGAACAAGTTCCGTCCCTCACATGGAAGAAGAAACTGACGATGTAGTCAAAAGATTCCAGGAAATTATTTTAAAAAATATTATTTTAATAATTTAGTTTTAAAAAATAAAAGCCCAATGAATTGGTGTTGTAATGTTCCAGGCATGATTTCATTTTCATCAACTATTCATAGGAACGAACCTAAAACTTTTATCACCGGTCAGACCAAATAAAAGATTTTCAAACTCAAAGCATTGATACAAAAAAATCAATATCAAGAAAAAAGAACAGTTCCCCATGGCTCTGTGCCGAAAGCATAAGGTCCAGTTTACCATAATATTGATAAGGAAAACATCACTAACATAAGATATTTCTTCTTCCTTCTGCTTCTCCATTACAAACTGCAACCAAACAATCTAAACGATTTCACAATACCTTATATTCACATTCGTGGAGAACAACTAACTCTCTGAAATCCCCAGATTCCAGTGAGAAGTGAATATTAGAAAAATCAGAGGAAATTACAGAACCTACAAAATCTGCTTTAAATCATAGATAATGGATATGATAGAGGAAAAACATGCTACCATTCTGCTCATTTATATACTATAACCATTCTCTTATCCACAATACACTTGGCTTGGTTGGTCAGTGTTCAAGCGTCATGCAAGTTGCTTGCACAGGTGTCGATCACAGTGCTTGATTAGCCGTTTGGATTCATCCTTCCTAAAAGACTCATGTTTTGTAATGCTAATTTCATGTTTTACTCATTAACACCCTTCAGTCGTGTATTTGTGTCTTCACCAAATTTGGCCAGAAATTAAATTCTAAGATGACATGCTTTAATCTTTCTAATAAGAAAAGGTTGTAACCACTGCTCTACACTCATTGCTATCAAAGGACAAAAAGGTCCCTTTTGAGCATACGAGCTCACATTACTTCGTGGTTTTATGAGATAGAAAAGAAACACAAGAAAACAAAACGAAATAAAAAATGACAAACTTTACAACCACTTGAAATTCAACATGGCAATTGCCAGAGAATGCATACACTGCAACTCAAGTGAAGTAGCAAACTTTTTTACGGTTAATAAATAAAAAGGGTGGTTAATTTGATAAACGAAACAAGTCAATATTCCTGGAGGTACCAATGAAAAAAAAAACATCAAGGAATTACTTGCTACTTGCTACTGTTCAAATCTTATCTGCTATCATATAAATTGAACTTTACAAGTTGAAGAACTCCCAGTGCACAAGGCTAGTGCTGTTATTTTAAGCGTCTCCTTCTTCCATGGAGATACACCAGTATAACAGCAAATTCTCATGGTATTAAAAAATCTTGCATACATCGTAATATATCTGGCAATTGAAAGTCAGCTTCTATACCGTAATAATTATTAAGAGAACATGTTCTAAGGTGCAATGATAGGCATTCAGGAACAGGTTGTGGATCATGTGGCCCATCTTCATGTTCATCAGATGTAAGGTAGTCTGGAATTTTCTTCTGTCAAAAAATATGCGCAAAATAAGATAAACACAAACAACCGAAGAAAAGGTCAAAGTAGATATAATCCATAAAGGCTTGAACTCATCAAACCGTGTCAACGGCAAGACTTCGAAGCTTAGGACAATGCTTGAGCACTTCTACCACCTTATGCAAATAAGCACGATCCTTATCTATGAAGAGAACCATGTGTGTTAAATTGTGAAACACGGGAATGTCTTCGTAACGGACGACAAAAGAGGCCGCCTATTAGTTGCAACAGAACGAGGTTAGAGAATTCGTTTCACTTACAGCACGGAAACAAAAATGTGTTAGTTTGAATATTTCTAGGATGGAGATAACTATATAAAATTCATATAAAAATAAATTAATAAATATTTAATTTCATTGAATTTTATATTACTTGAGCAATAATTATATGCACCTTAGATGTAATGTCAATATTTAAATAAAGATATGATATAAAATAAAGCAGAAGCGGCATTAGTACCCAGTCAACTTGGAGAAACTGAACATTACTGGTTACTGTCAAAGGAACCTCAAGTTGAACGACTTTAGCGGTGAGCAAATTGAGCAAGGTTTTAAACTCTGCTCCCAGTGAATGGTTACGAAAAGATACACCCTGCACTTCCAAATCCTCAACATTTGTGCAGGCGGAAAGAAACTCCGCAAATTGTGTGAGGTAAGGTTAACAGCCGTAAAAGTTGGAAACGAACAACACACCAATTGGAGAACGACAAGGGTTCTGCAGTTGAGTATGGAACAGGGCAAGTTGACGCTTTTACCCGTATGCCGAGGAAAACATAGGTCGAGCTGTTCAACTCGTCGTTGACACGCAGCATCAACCCATGTTTTAAAATTGTTAGCATTGGCACTGCAAAGAGAATAATGGCAACACTTGAATCGGAATGTTTGGATGGGTTGGTGCACATTTCGGGACAGGAAAACTGAGTACACCGATTGAACAAAGAGGGGATAAGTGGTGATTCCATAACTGCAATCGTCGAAATCGAGAGTGGTAATTGAACGCCAGATAGGGTTCCACCGCTTGGAAAGGACGCTTGTTTTAACGGCGTGGTTGGTCGGCAGAAAAGAGAGAATGTGGCAGAGGATTTCGTCTGGTAAAGTGCTTATTATATCCTTCTGCCTCTTCTGGTACATTTTCGCTGCTCAGAGGATGAAGGCAGTACCAATGCCGATCAAATCAAGAATTTGGATAAAATATTAAGGTAACTTCCCGGCATTCTCTCGCACTTAGAACAGGGTTAATAATTTATTTAAAAAAAATATAAATATTTATAATCTTTAAAATATTATAAAATAACAAGGTTAATTTAGTAAAAATATATAATATTTTCTCAAATAAGAAGGAAAGAGAAAAAAGTTAATATAAAATTTACAAAAATAATTTTAAAAATTTATAAATCATTATTATCTTATTTAAAAAATTTTAAAACAAAAGTGATTTTTTTTTTTTTAAAAAAAAAATTCATAAGCCCACGATATAGAACTTTTTAGGCAGAATAATCGACTAAACTAACATTTTAATCCTTGAGAGAGTTTGAGTCCAACATTTTATTCCTTAAAACATTTAAAATATCACATTAGTCCACAACTTTTTTCTTTGTTATGCATTTTAATCCCTGACGTTAGACCCCGTTAAGAGACCCTCACAGAAGGCTAAGCTATCATGTTAAGTGCTACGTCAGAATCTCTGTTGGCAGCAATGACATCGTTTTGGAAGCTGACATGGTAGAGATAATTGCGAAACGGTCGTTGTCATTGAAACTCCTTTTGCCCAAATTGAATCTTCTCATTATTGTTGAAGAACCTACCCTAAATTCAGGCTCTCTCTCGCCTAAATTCTTATTCGTAATTTGATTGGGGGTGAAATATTTCAAGATTGAAGTTTATTGTAGTGAAACAAGGGCCAACAAGTAGAGAATTCGGTAAAAAAAAAAATTTCTTAATTCATTGAGTCAATTTTTTGGTTTAGGGACAAAGAACCCTAACTGTTTAATATTTTGGGGACAACGAACCCTATCTGTTTTCTTTCTCCTTAATCAATTTGAATGTGATTATTGGAAAATATTTTTTGTTTGTTATCAAGAAAATAACAAGGGATGGTAGGAAGTGGTCCCTGGTAGACAGTGGCCCCCTTATGTTTCCTACAATTTTTTAGTTTTTAAAATTAAAGAAGATAATGTTAATGAAAGTAGTCCCTTTCTGCACGGTTTAACCCATTTTTCAATGTGCGTGCATGACTTTCATTGTTTATTAAGTAAATTAGTTTAAAATTGCAAAAGATTGCTGACATTTTTTATAATTGTTTCTCTGTAAATGCAGACAATTAAGTTTTACATTCACCATAGAGGAAATTTTTTGGAAGAGAATGGAATTAAGAAGGAGTACAGGTGGGATAAAATTGAGGTTTGGACTGATGTTGATGAAGATATGGTAGATATTTTTAACTTCAAAAACTTTGCCAAGGCAATGGGGTATTTCATTAACATAAAAAATATATTTTGATCTGACCGTGATAAAGAGTTTGATGAAGGTTTGAAATTATTAAAATATGATGTTGATGTATTGGAAATGATGGCTGTTGCTAAAAGGAATAGAAGAGAGATGCATGTCTATTATGAGCATGAGATTGCTACACCACAATTGCTTGAAGACAGTGAAATTTTAATGTTGGAAGGCCCTCCAGATGATATTGTACCAATGGAAAAAGAAATTCAACTTGAACAACCAGTAACAGAAGAAGTACAAGTTGAACAACCAGCAATGGAAGAAGTACAAGTTGAAGATGTAACAGCTGAAGAATTAGAAGTTGAAGATATAACACCAGTCCACAAAGTACAAGTTGAAGTTGATAAGAAATAGCAAAAGAAAAAGGCAAAGGGAAAGCGAATTGGAAAGGGAAAAGGAAAAGGTGACTCTGGTAAATCAGCTGGGGAAATAAGAAGAAGAAGTTTGCGAATTGGAGCCATGAAAGAAAACTTTCAATCTGCTACATCAGAGAAAAAACCAAAAAAAGAAAAAAAGCATGGGAAAAGAAAAAGGAAAAGGGAAAGAGGCAAAAAAAATTGAAGGAAAAGGTAAAGAAAAAATGACCTATATTGATGAAGAAGATTATTTACATGAGGAACTTTCTAAAAATAGCATAGAAGATGTAGAAGAGGTGGGTCATAGAAAAACTCCAAAATGAGAAAAGCATTCTGAAAATTCATGGAGGTCTGAAGAATTAAGAACTCTAGCAAACTCAAATGATGAAGATAGTAACAAACAAATTTTTCCCAAATTTAATGATTCTGCAAATTTTGGAAATGTTTACTTGGAGCTAAGAATGGAGTTTGAAAGTTTACAGTCTTTCAAAAAAGGTGTTAAGGATTATACAATTCAGATGGTAAGAGAAATAAGGTGGGTAAAAAATGACAAAGTCAGAGTAAGAGCTAAGTGTAAATATGAAAACTGCAAGTGGAAAATATATTGTGCAAAAAACAATGTCACGCATAGCTTCCAGATCAAGACTTTTCTCGGTGAGCACAGTTGTGGCAGGATTTTTAAAAATAAACAAGCAACATAAGATTGGGTTGTAGGTAAACTTGTTATCAAACTAAGGAAACACCCCAATATGAAACATCCTGAAGTTGTTGAGTACTTTAAAAAGAAATTTGGTGTGCAGATAAAAGATACCAAAATATATAGGTCAATAGTTAAGGTAAGAGAGATTGTAGAGGCAAGTGAGAAAGAACAATTTGGAAAGTTGTGGGACTATTGTGGAAAACTTTTGAGAAGTAATCCAGGTTCAACTGTCAAAATGAAAACTAATTCTCAAGTTGAAGGTCCACTGTAGTTTAAAAGATTGTATATATATCTTGCTGGGTGCAAAAATGACTTTAAGGCTGGATGTAGACCAATGATAGGGCTTGATGGTGCATTTTTAAAGGGTTATTACCGAGGATAGTTATTGACAGCAGTGGGACAAGATGCTAATAATCACATATGGGTAATAGCCTATGCTGTTGTGGATGTTAAAAATAAGGAGAATTGGTAATGGTTTTTATCACTCTTACATGAAGATATGAGAAATTATAAGCAACATGGTTGGAATTTCATATCTGACATGTAGAAGGTAAACATCTACGTAGGATATAGTTACTCATTACTTAGAATTGACAAGGACTTAATTGCATGAATAATAAATAAGTTAGGGACTAAATTGCATGATTTTTATTCTATCAAGGACTAAAGTAAACTTCGTATTTTACTGTAGGGTTTGATTTCAGCTTTGCAAGAAGTGATGCTAGGTGCACACTATAGGTTTTGTGTGTGGCATCTATGGCAAAATTTCTGTAAGCAATGGAAGGATAAAGTCTTGAAACACTTTGTATAGGAATGTGTAAGATCAATCACCATCTCATAATTTAATTCAAACATGTATATAATAAAGATAATGAATTAGAAGGCATGGGCATACTTAGACAAGTGGCAAAAGGAGGCATGGACTAAAACATACTTTAGTGAATGGCCAAAGGTGGAAAACATCTGTAGCAATAACTGCGAGGTCTTCAACTCAAACATTGTAAATGCAAGGTGTAAACCAATATTAACAATGCTGGAAGAAGTTCAATGCTACATCATGACAACAATTTGTACTAATAAGTTGAAGTTGGCAGCCCATGCATGTCAGTTTCCTTCTATACAGCAAAGTAGGTTGGAGAAATTAAAACAACAAAGCATTAAGTGGACACCAATATGGGCAAGTAAACATAATCCTAATTTTCTGATAATTTTTAGTAATATAACATTAAATTTGTCTTAACTAAACTTCTATCATAGGTGATGATGATACTCATAAATTTGAAGAGCAATATTCCATAACTAAGGTTGTTGTTCACTTGGGTAGCCACACAACACTTGTAGATTTTGACAATTAACAGGTTAGTTATTTCTATATGATGGCTTATGTGTTAAATTTATATGAATATGCAACATATATAATGTCTGATATTTTTTTTCCTTATAATTTTTATAGGTATGCCTTGTATGCATGTTATTGCTGCAATAGCATATAAAAATGAGAGACCAAAAGATTACTGCCATGGATGGTTAACAATTGAAGCATGTCGTGCAATCTATGAACATCATCAAGGTGGTGCGACTTAAATCATAATCATGCTTGCCTAAAAATATATGTTATTCAAGGGTGATGCGACCTAAAACATTTGAAGCATAAAATAAGTTGCTGAAGTACAACTTATAGCACTGGACATGATCTAGCTAATAAAACCATATTAGCATAAGTCACAATACCATTAACACGACCATATTCTTTACAAACTAAATTACAAGGCAGTTTCATCCAATTCGATTTATACACTTGTTACAAATACATCATATGCTCCTTAATAAGTTACACCATCATGTAACTTATAAAATAAGAAAAGATAAAAGACATATTTCAAGATTTTGTAAAAAAGATATATTTATAATTTTATATTTTTTATTTTATTTCTTAAAAATTTCAAAAATATTTCATTGAGGAAAAAATTATACATACTTCTATATTTTAAATATACTTTAATATAATATTTAATAAAAATTGTATTATTTAGTAATTTCTTAATAAATATTTTTATTAAAAAGTTCTCTTAAAAATTTAACATTAAAAAAGTTTCGTGGATTTAAAAAATAGTATTTTAAATAAAAAAGTTAAACAAATTAAAAATAAATAAAAGTAAAACTTAACAAGTACTCTAAAAAAAATAAAATGAAAGATAATTTCTGAATTACCTTATAAATTATGATGACATTTTGTATTTTATAAAATAATTATTACCATTAGTTTATTAATAATAAAGAAAGCATTTTATATTCTTTCACATGTTAAACAATTATTTCTGTTAATTTATTAATTTTATAATAATAAATAAAAAAATTAATTAATTATTTAAAAAATAAAAATATTAGAAGAATTGGAATATATATATACACCACATTCTCAAATTCATGGTCCCAAAATAAAACCTAGACTAAGACCAGGCTTGGCAGCTTTTACAATCCTACTTGCTTTCCGTGATCCCCGCTATACCTACCGAAAATCAAGGTTCCAAAACAACTGATATATACGTGTGTTGACACCTGCGACGACACCAATGGCGGATACGATAAGCACTTTACCAGACGAACTCCTCTGCCACATTCTTTCTTTTCTCCAAACCAAACACGCCGTTGCAACAAGCGTTCTCTCCAAGCGATGGAACCCTCTTTGGCGTTCAATCCCCATTCTCGATTTCAATGATGACAACGTCAAAGACGAAAAAGGCATTGCTCGTTTCGTCGAATTCGTGGACTATGTCTTGCACGCGCGAGACGCGAAGCAAGCCATCGAAAGTTTCCACTTCATGACTCGCAGTGCACTTTTCGACGTTTCCAGCGTTGAGAAGTTGGTCAACCTTGCAATGGAGAGCCGAGTTGCACACCTCGATCTCTGCGTGGGCAAGGACGATGAAATACCTATTTTGCCCTTTAGCGTTCTCAGCTGCAACACTCTTGTGGTTCTCGATGTGTGTGGGTTCAGAGTGCCGGAGTTTTCGTCAATTGAACTTCGTTCACTCAAAACGCTGCGTTTGGAAGCGGTCCATTTCGAGAGTTTTCGAAGCTTTATGGACTTTCTCGCTGGATGTCCGAATCTTGAGGATTTTGAAGCAGAATATGTAATATACGACTCTGAGGATGACTATCGTGACTATGGAGATATCAAAAGCTCGACCTTAAACAAGTTGATGAAAGCATCTATCTTTGACTGTGATATTCCTTTTCCGCCAAAGATATTTCACAACGTAGAGTTTCTGTGCATGGAAATACCCAAGGTATGATTGGAGTCTACAATGCTACGTGAATTTACACATAAATTGGATGTTTAAACGTGCTTTTTCTAGCTCAAAATAGGCTAACTTTTACTTTCTATAAAGTTATTTGATTTATTTTAATTTTTATAGTTTTAAAATTATTGATTTTAATTAGTAACTACTACAAAATGATGACGTAGTTAATTCAAATATCGTAGCATGTCAATTTTGTATCATGTATTGTTTTCATTGAACCAGGTATTTGACGGATGGAAATAAATAATTTTAAAAATATAAAAATAAAAAAAAAATAATTATTGAGATTAAATTAAAATTTATATATTTTGAGAGATGAAAAATATATCTTTAATCTTAAAATGAAATTCTTTTATGATTTCTAACCATTTTTTATTATTATTATCATCACTCAGGAGCATCGTTGTTACAGTCACTTTCCCACTTTTTATAATTTGACCTGCATGGAGCTTTTCTTTCTCGACCACAACTGGGATTTGTTGGTAGAACTGCTCAAGCATACCCCTAAGCTTCAAAATCTTTCCCTGGATGTTTTTGAGGTTTGTTATGGATTATTTATGTTTTATCTTCTCTTAATATATTTTTTATGTTTTATATTATGTGTATTATTAACAGGATGATGAGGATGGACGAATTAGTGTAAATGATAAGCAAAAGAGTTGGACAGAGCCCGAATGTGTTCCTGAATGCCTTTCCTCACACCTTAGAACTTGCACTTTAGGAAATTTTGTTGGCTTGCAAAGGGAGCTTGACTTAGCAAGATATATTACGAAGAATGCAAGAGTCTTACAATCCATCAAAATATGCACTCGAGGAAAGTGGAAAGTTTTCGAAAACTCATCTTCGTGCCCTTTGAAGGACATGGAACTGTGCATAAATTAAAGAGAGAGATACCTGAATGATTTAGTACTTGCCAACCTTTTTTTTTACCGTTCATATAGTTTGAATTAGATCCATATTTACCCAGTTTTAGCAATTGTATCCGGATTTCTGATTTAATGCATAACCACCAGGGTAGGAAGGTGAAAATTGTAAATTGATGTTTTTCATGTTGGACATGTCATGTCTTTTCTCTTTTAACACACAAGCATGTACTTGAGCACACCATCCACACAGGCAAAGATCAAACATTAGATGTTAGCTGATAAGGAATTTTGTTTGTCTGTCTCTGGATAGCAATAATGTAATGATTAATCCCATTGAAAAAGACCAGACCTAAATGATCTATTTAAATGCTTGATATTTGGACAAAACACAATGACATCATTTGACCCAAGTACCTGATTTTGTTATTATTGTGAAGCTAACTGTCATGTGTTAGTGTCTTAACCAAATTTTAGCAGAAATTAACTTCTTAGGTGAGATAATGCTATCTTTACAATTATAAAGGATTTTTGAGCCATAGTGCAAAGGCTGAATCATAGAAAATTATCTAGCATTACAGTTACCACCAGCGCATGTAACATCCTTTTTTTTAATTAACATAATGATCGTAAAAAAAAAATCATCAAAATAGGAGATCGGTCACTTGAAATACACCAACCGCCATGCGGATATTAGCTCTTAGCACATTCTCAAACTGGGCACATAAATCATCTTCACCTCTTTCATGTTGATAATGGGCCAATATTTCATCAACTCATAAAATTTGGCAGCATAATCTCCCACTGACATATCTCCTTGTTTCAGCTCTAGAAATTCCCTCACCTTCTGTTTCTGCAAGTTCCTGGGAAAGTAGTTTCCCAGGAAACAAGCCTTAAACACTTCCCAAGTGATGTGACCCTCTTCCTGTGGCAGGGTCTGACCCGCGTACTTCCACTAGTCCTCCCTTCTCCGCATAGCATATAGGTTGCATAACCCACTTTATGCTCCTCATAGCAGCCCATAGCATTAAATATCTTCTCTATGTCAGCAATCCATCTTTGGGCTCCTTCTGGATCAAATTTCCCTTCAAACTTAAGAAGATCATGTTTTGTAAAAGACGACAACCCCCGATACTCTGCGGGTTCAGCATTCTGGTTCTATGCCAGAATCTCTACGGCTTGAGCCACACGGTTCAATATCTCATTAGCAACTCCCGCGGGTCTACTTCTACCAGCCATTTTTCTATATAGAAAGTTTATGAACTTATCAGCAACCATTATTCACTCTAATGCACATAAACATTCAAGTGAGTAAATCACACACATTCCTGTTTAGAAAACTAAATAGGTCATCCTAACAATTAATTCTCTCATATTCCTGTTAGGCAAGACTATGAGAGTACACCACAGATAAACTAGTCCCATACCCCAGTCCGGTTTGGAAGAACTGCTCTGATACCAAAATGTAAAATCCTTATTTTTAATTAACATAATAATAGTAAAAAAAAATAATCAAAATCATCAAAATTGGAGAGATCCTGAATAACAAAGGTTCAAATCGAAAAAACTTGAATAGTAAAACGTTAGTCTTTAAAACTGGTAATAAACATTAAGTATCGTAATCATAATTTGCTTCATAATGTACAACATATATTTGTATTTCAAATACACATAAAGTTATCAAAATACATTAAGACCATTCATTTACATTTACAAGTACTCAAAATAATAATGGTCCTAATGAGCAGCCTAACCACCCTTTGACCAAGTGACACTAGTCATCCCCGTGCCACTCTTCTATCATCGCTAGGTCTTCAGCAGTCAACTCATCATCCAAACCCAGATAATGATCGCTCGGGTCTGCGGTGACCTGAACACTTGTAATATGCTCGATTGTCCATTGTGATGGTATTCTAGACTGATCGTGGTCATGGTATGTGACAAGATACGTTACTGCTGCAGAGGTTCTCTCAACACCAGAAAAGATATAGATACAGAGGGTGTGATGGATTCTATATACAGACAAATCAAAAGGGATACTAAAGGCTAGCTCCAATTCCATCATCACTACCTCACTAGGCACCTCACTATCATATACAAGGATTCTAAAGGAAGTAAATCTTTGATACTCGCCAAAAACATCATTTACAATATTTACTTCTGAATTGTCTACTATTCTAATTCCCTCCCTAGGTGTCGTCATTTGAGTTTCCTGAAATGGTTATGTAAGGATGAGTCTCTACATTCATTGCCAAGCATACACACTCAGAGAATTCAATAATACAGGTCAAACATTCAACATGCATCATATAATCAACTCAATTATGCATTCAAATTATGTTTCTCTATTTATTCTCTCATTACTTGTTTCCAAACTCAGTACCATTCTCATTTTCACTATCCCTGGGATCCATTGAGGTCTTCTTTAACATAGATAGTTGCTGGATAGCCGCAACTACATAGATACAACGTGTGCCGACCTTGCCCCTTTTAGTAAAAATGTAGTCAGGAGTATAGGCCAGGAAACAAGTGTGAGGCCTGTGGTGTCCCTACTCTCATTTGTATTGCGCAATTCAAGAGGAATATCCACCACCCTCATTTCTCCCAAGACTTCTCAGTCTTCTCCATCTTCCACACTTCCAGTGTACCTCTGAACTATCTATGCTTGTCCTTTTCTTATCCATTCTGATTTCCTTTCTCTTTCTCTTTTATATCTTATCTTTCTAGGCCTCTTTCTATTTCATTATCTCACTATCTATTACTTTTTCATTGCCGAGGGTTATTCCTCTCGGGCTCAGTACATCATACACATGCTCAGATTCAAACATATCATACTCATCATATATCATTTTCAAACATCACAGAGCATGTTTTAAACACATCAATCACATGTTATCAATCAAAACATACTCATTTCAAGCATTTTCACCCATACATACAATAGTTCCTAGCAATGAAATAGAGCTCTCCTTACCGTTAGACGAAGTTCTGAAAGAGATTTTGTGAAAGGTTCTGAGTGAAGGACTAAGATTTTCCTAGATATCACAAAAGAGAACATTTTGAGAAAGGAGAAACTTATAAAACACCTAAAAAGAGAAAATAAAGCTCCAAGAACTTACTTGGAGTTGATTGATGAAGTTCCTAAGCTTGGATTTGTAAAAAAGTTGAGGTTTTGGAGAGATTTTCTAAGAAGAAAGGGTTAGGGGTTGAGAGAATAAGAGAGAGCTCGAAACTTGGATTGTAATCCAAGTTTTCTAACTTGGAAACCCTTAAATACCTCTCGACTCGAGATATTATCGCTACAGCGAGACTTTCTCTTGCTACAGCAAAAAAATCAGACAAAATTACGCTTTGCTGTCTGTCATTCTACCTACAGCGAGAGCTCCTCGCTACAGCGAGATAGCACTAGAATACTTGATTTTTATGTTAATTTCTCTCTACAGCGAAAAATCCTGCAACTCACACATTTAAAACTCTCCTAATTTCAAGCAACATACATTAATAACTCACATCAAGTATAAAATTAATAATTAATAAAGTAGGGATGTTACAGCGCATGCATCTTCTAAGATGTTGAGAGACTAGTTGGTGTGTTTTGGGAGGAACAATATTTTTAAATTATTTAGATTAAGAAGCTTGGTGGATTATTTCCATGGGAATGCTAGCTTAGTTTTATTTCAACGTGTTAATATTTATATGTTGTTGAATGTAACTAATTTATTTAAATTATCTTGAGATATGTTTGACTTAATTTTTGTTTTGATTAAATTAATATAATGTAATTTGTTTTAGCATGAGGACTAATTTACAATGCTTGCTTTGTTTTTGTGCTAAGTGTTGTTCTTTCTTTCTATTCATGTAGAAAACTAAATAGTCTAACTATATTCTTAGAAATAGAACTATAATTGGCTAGTTTTGGTGCATCTATGGAACTCATGATAGGTTTAATTTGGTAAATTTTTTGAAAAATTATTTTAAAAAATTAATATAAAAAATAGTAAAACTTATCTAATAATTTAAAAATAATGTATACTTTTTTATTTTATAATAAATTCTGTCATTTAATTTTTTTATATTTAATTTAGAGAGATAAATTATTTATAACCTATGAAAGAAGTTGTATTTATTTTTATATTGATTTTTTTCTTGTATAAATATTTTTTTAAAAGTTTACTCAAATTGAGTCACAGTGAAGTTATTTAGATATTAACCAAATAATTGTATTGGTGTTAGTTTATCTCGTAGTTTCATCGATGATAAATAAAAGAATATTATTTTATTTATGATCTTAAAACTTCTAATGCATGTTTTGGACATATTTTATTATTTTAGTTATGACTTCAATATAAACCACCAATTTTATATTTTTTCAATAAAAGTTCAAAAGCTTTGAGTTTGATCTCTAATAAATATCACGCTCTTACAGTCTTATCTAGCAAGTTTATTAGGTAGTTATTGTAAGTAATAAAATTCAGAATTTTTAAGTTTCAAGTATCATTTCCAGGGATTAATTCATTCAATTACCACTTTACAGATTAAAGGTTATTTGAGCTAATCGAAATTAGAGGTGTTTTGAACATTTGAATAACTAAAGTAATGAAGTGCAAAAAATTAGAGAGTAATAGCAAAACATAGTGAAGAATTGAGAGATAAGATGAATAATCAAATGAAGTTAGGGTTGACTTCATCAATATTTCAATTGCAAAACTGAATATGAGCTGAATAAGTTTCTTAATTGATTGATGATCAATTTTATTAGGTTAATTAAAATTCAATTATTTGACTCAATAATCCTAATATTTAATTAACTACCCTAATTCCTTAGGTGTAAATTATTCAAATATTGCATAAAGAATTAGAAATTAATAGATCACAAGATCATGGATGTTTATTCCTAAGATATCAATAACCTTGATATTCAATTCAGATATGAGAAACTAACTTAACTTCTATTGATGAAAATCTTCTAAGTTCAATTCAATTGAATAGTTCATCCAAGAATTGCATTAAAGATATAATTAAATGTTTAACACAATCGAAGTCTTAGAATTCATATCCATAATCAATTTACAATGTCAAAATTAAATCTATCAATCCTTAACCAAAACAAACTAAAACATAATTATAAAAGAAAGAGAGAAAGAAAGAGGAGAAAAGGTGTAGAAAATATCTATGAATCCAAGTTCTAGGTCTAATTTCTTTAGATTTGAGCCTTGAAATCCACCATCAATCCTCTGTCTCTCTCTCACTCTATAAGAATGTGGAAAGGAAAAAAAATGAGAAAAAAATTCCCTAAAAATATGTGTTTTCAACTATTTATAATTTTTCTTGCACTTTTGGCATAACTACTTTTGGTAGAAAAAGTAGCTACGCACACTAAGCAATACAGAGCACAGCGGCTGGTGTAGCCACTTTCTACCCTGAAAGTAGCCACGCGCAGCATAATTTCACAAATAAGCTTGTGCGTGACTATTTTTGCCTATAAAAGTCGCTACACGCATAGCAATTCTCCCAAAAGGACTTTGGAGTGTCCACTTTTGATAAGGAAAGTAACCATGTGTAGCACCTTTCTTCCTATAACCCTTCAAAGTTGCTACTTTTGGCCTAAGCAAAGTTAACGCGCAATAGAATTCTTCCTCAAACAGCTTTCAAGTAACTACTTTTGACACCCAAATTGGCCACCCCTAGCACATTTATGCCTAGTACCTTATGAAATTCTCACTTTTTGTGCTAAGAGTGATAACTCTAAGTCCCAATTGATCTCTTCAAGTCTCTAACTCATGTGCCTTTACTCAGAATTTCGTGCAAATTTATTTCAACAACAAAATTACATTAAAATTCTACTAAAGTCAAACAATTTGAATTATTAAAGGTAAAAATTGAATTATTTAACATTTACATATTTTTGTGCCATTTTCTTCTTTTAATTACTCTTTTCTATTAGAAAAATCCTAGAAAAACTACTTAAAAACATACTAAAATTTGGATTTATCAATAAATCACTCAAAATTTGTTATCTCCTTTTTCCAAAAATCTTCTTTCTTCTTCTCCCATATGTAATCCATTTGGAGATTAAATATGATTGTCTAAAACAATGGACAAGTTTACTTTTGTAGGCTCTAGTGTTTGACCTAGAAGTCACTGGAGTATTCCTTTTGATAAAGCTACATTAATAAAAATTGGATGGGAAAAATAAACTTGAACACATTGGTCATTTAATGGATGATGTGTTTTACTAAATTTAATAATTGATTTTTTAAAGTTAAGAGAAAAGACATTTTATGTAACATCCTAATTTTAATTTGCATTTTTTGTTTTCAAAATAGAAGAATCTCTAAACAAAAATTAATTTTAGCTCAAGGAAAATTTCTCACTCAAGCAAAAATGAGCAATAGAAATAGGTAGTTCTCTGATAAACTTTCGCTCAAGCGAAAAACTTCTCGCTCAAGAAAAAATATTTGTAAAAGAGTAACAAATTTTGTTTGATTTTCTCGCTTAAGCGAGAATCTTTGAGAAAAAAAGGGCATTTAAGTAATTATGACACTTCAAAATCATAGATTTCAAAACAAGTAGTCATTCTCATCCCTCTCTCTGTTCACTCTCTCCCTTACACATCTAAAACAACTTTAAACTCCAAAACCTCTTTCGAGTCCGAGCTTGAATATCTTTTTCTCTTGATTGCAAGTAAGTTATTGGAGCTCAATTTCTGAGTCTCACTTCTATTTTATTATTTTCTTTCTACTCAAAAATTGTTCTATTTTGTAATGCTTAAGAAGAACCTTGGTCCTTTGGACAATATCTTCCATTAGAGACTTGCACCTTTCTTTTGGATCTCAAGAAGGTCTTGATCTTAGAGATGTTATCTCTCATCTCTTTGTTGTAAAAGACCTATCTCCAAGTAAAGGGAGTTGATTCCAAACTATAACTTCTATTTATATGTTTTTGTCTTAAAAACTCAAATTTTTCCTATTTTGGATAATAGAGCCCTAATGTTGTCTCAAAATTATAATGTTAAAATGAATTTTTGGGCATAAAAAACCTCTAATTTGTTTCTAGAACTAGCTAAACAAAATTTCATAGTAAAATTTATAAATACTTTTAAGTTTCTCCAATTTTACTATTAATTATTATATACGTATGGTTAATATTGTAAATTATTATTCTGAACAATATGTGTATTGGGAAAAATACTAAACTTTAGGTTAGATGATTTTTATTAAGAATGAGAGAGTGTGATCTCCGACAATGTATTTCTAAACTATATAATTGGTTTAAGTCTGAAGATGTCCAACCTTCAGCGCATTGTATTAATTTGTATAATTGTGTGTTTCTTGTTTTATAAATATATGTTTAAATGAGAATTTTGGTTGTTTGTATAAGATTGATGAAAAGTGTTGACTGTTCTTGAATGATGAAACATATTTTAGTAAGTATATGTGAATTGGATTAAGTCTAAATTTGTGTGACCTTATACATATTTTATTTGATTGAATGATGAAAAAGAGATGAAGGAAAATATATATGTTATTAGTAAAAACAAAAAAGTAATAATAATTGGTATGAATATTTGAGAATTGTTGAGAAAAGGCAAGTAAAAGAGAAAGGATGATTAATACATACGTCGTAAATATATGGATTAGTGTGATTATAATATATATATATATATATATATATATATAATATTTTATGTGTTATTTGATTTATTTATAAAATAAAAGATTTAGTGAAGCGAATGATACTCACTCTTACTAATTATTTTCAATAAATAAAATTGAAGGAATTAAATGAAGTTTGATCCGTTTTAAGATCATATTCTTGATAAAGTGGTAGAAAAGACTGCTCTGTTATGATTTAAAATGTTATTTTGAAGGTTGTAATATTTTATAAAGTTTATATTTGAAATTGATAAGAACATGTAAATGTTTTATATTGGTAGTTAGTTAAATTTTGTTGTAACGAATAATTTGAGATGTTGATAATATTGGTAGTTAATTATTTTGGTTCTAGTTTATATTAATTCACGTTGTAAGATACAATGTTGTTTATGTCTCAAGTCTATACCAGTATAATATGAATCAAATAATTTATTAATATGAAAATTTTAGTATTTACTCTATCGATAAATTAAAAATTTCATAACTATTTCCTTTTAAAAGCTTTGAATATTGTTGAGTTTTCATAAATTGAAAATAGGAATACAAATTTTACTTTTCTTTAATTATTTAAGCTATAAATATACAAGAAATTTACTTATTTCCTATTTCTCGTTATAAATCAATATTTATATTGAATAAAGAAATAAAGATGTTACAAAATAAATAATAAATTTTAATTTTTAAAAAATATTAATTTTAAATTTTCTAATTGAATTTAAATTATTAAAATAGCAAAACCTTATTAAAATATATTTATTTTATTGTACAAATTTAATGTAATAAATATTTTTAATATTAAGTGATAACATTTAAATGCCCAAATTTAACTTTTAAAATTGAAATTAATAATTTTTTATATTTTAATATATAATTTCAAACATATAATAAAAATTTAAAATATAATAATTTTTTATTGAAATTAATGTGTTACTTAAACCCATAATCCACTCTACATAACCTACTATATAATCTTAATTTATTTAAGATCTATATATAATGTGCTTATTTTGACCCTAAGTTCCAATATATAATAAAAAAATTGAGTTAATTCAGCCTTTTTAAAGAGTAATTAATAAATATTATAATATTTTTTAGTAAAAAACACATGTGTTTGTTTATTTTTTATTAAATTATTTTATTTAAAATTATTTAAAAACTATATTTTAAATATAGAAAATATATTTTAAAAAATAAAAAATTCTGTCAATTCAAAATCAAATCAAGTAATTTCACTTAAAAATATATTTTATCAAATTAAGATAAGTAAAAATTTAGATTTACATGCATCATCAAGTTTTACTAAGTTCTCAAGTTATTTTTTTTTATATTTATGAATTTTGTAATATTAAGTATTACTTATCCATAATTTTTGTTATGACAATGTTATATATATATTTTTAACATATTAAATTTTATTTAAATAAATCATTTCAAACATTTTGAAGACATATAAGTTAACAAATTTAGCTATTATTGCTTTCTATTATCATTTTTATGTCTCTATTTTACTTTAAAAATATTACTGAACATGTGATGTTTCAAAGATAATTTTATAAAAATAAATAAATAAAAAATAATATAAAATTATTAAACATAAAAAAGTTTATAATTAATATTAAAATATAATTATAAAATAATATATTATAAAATCATTTATAAAATTAAATGAATAAAAAATATTATTATGATTTAATAATTATTAATAATATAAATAAAAATTAGATAAACACATAACTTAATTTGATAATAAATTATTATATTTTATTAATATTATTTAATAACAATAATTTATTTTTAATATTTTATTTAAATTAAATTAAATTAAAGTTATTTTTAAATAATTTTATTTATTTATAAGTTTATAATAAAAATATTTTAATAAATTATAATAATTTTTTGAAATATAATTAGTCCATGGTTAGTCCTAACTTATTAAACTTTATAACTTTTTTGATTCAATAAATTTTTTACATTGTGAACTTTTTTTGTCCGATCTCAAATTAGTAGTTGATTCTGGCTCATTTGACACTGGTATTCTTTATAAGGGTAAAAATTAAATAACATTTTTGTCCTATCTCAAACAAGAAACCAATAATGTGGTGAGGACTGTTACTGGACAAATTCCCCGTTTCCCAGGGACTCCGTACGATAACTCTGCTCCCAATTGATCCTTTGAATCTCTGAGTTCCAATGCGTGACCTGATTAGCACGTTACCAGACGCTGTTCTCTGTTACATTCTCTCCTTTCTCCCAACACGCGATGCCGTCGCCACAAGTCTGCTTTCAAAGAGGTGGGAAACCCTCTGGCTCTCAGTCCCCATTCTCGACATCAACGACGATACCTATCACCAAAACGACATGCCCCTCCCCTGCTTCGTTAAGTTCGCATACGCAGCCATTCTCGCTCTCGGTGTCCACCAATCCGTTAAACGGTTCTGCCTCCTATGTGAGGCTTATGACGACGAGCCTTCTTTTTCCGATTTCAATTTATGGGTAAGAACGGCAATACGACACGGTATTGAGCATCTCCACCTCCAGATGTCCTTTTCAGTTAGACTGAACTTGCCTTGCTACATTTTCAGCCTCAAAACGCTTGTCGTTCTCAAGTTGAATGGTTTATCTGTCGATTCCTTTTCTTCTGTTGACTTGCCCTCGCTCAAAACCCTTCATTTGAATCGCGTTAATATTTTGGAGCCTCGATATTTCGTCAATCTTCTTAATGGGTGTCCAATTCTTGAGGATTTGGAAGCAAAGAATATTGATTTTAAAATCTTATCTGATATAAACTCTGAGGGAGACTTCAAAATCTTGTCCAATTTGGTCAGGGCAGATATTTCTCAACTTAATATGTTTTCTGTTCCTCTAAAAGTAATTTGTAATGTAGGGTTTCTGCGCATACAAAAAGAGGTATGAATGAGCTTAATTTGTTCCTTATTTTTAGTTTTAGAAATTGGCATTCCTCATTGATGATGTTTTCTCTTTGTAACTCCTGCAGCTCATCACAAACTTTCAAGTGTTTCCCAATTTAACTCAATTGGAACTCATGATTGAAGGCTTTGTTAACTTGACTTTCGTATTTGAAACGCTCAAGCGCTGTCCCAAGCTTGAAAGTTTCGTCCTTGGTGAGACTAGATATACAGATCCTATAGAAGAACAGGTTTTGCCGAACCCATTTATTGTTCCTGCATTCATTTCTTCACAGCTTAAGAAGTGTTGTTTTGTTAATTATATGGGCAAGGAAGCTTCGCTGCTACTTGCAAAATATATTATGCAGAATTCAAGAGCTTTAAGAACCATGAAAATTTGCAGTGCCATTCCCTCAAATACATGGCAAAAGCTTGAAATGCTGAAACAATTATCCTTGTGCCCAAGGAGCTCTGCGACTTGTGAACTTTTATTTGAATGATTACTGGTAGGCTTGTAAGTAGCTGAAAATTGTAAATTGTTCGTATATGGCTGCTTTTGTTATTGGTCTTACTCTAAATACAATGCAGCTTCTGGTTTTGGCGGTTTTGAAGGATATAAATTGTGTTTCATTGTGCAAATTGAAGAAAATGATGATCCTTATTATCATATAGATTTTCAAATTTAAATTGATTTTATGCGGTTGTGGGAAAACAATGCTTCTAGCTCTGTGAAGTTATTGTATATGGGAAAGTAATGTTTTTTGGGGCTAGTGGAGTGTTGTTTTTTTCTTGAACTGTTGTGGACTGTACACACCACTTATATATACAAATTATAAACTTAGTTGTTTGCCCATAAAGGAACTCTTAATTTTTTTTTTCTCTTTTGATTGCTTTAAGGTTTTGATTGTCGAGTGTCGGTAATTTTGAAATGAAATTAACTTCTTATATGAGATATATCGTGCTTTCAATTAGAAATGATTTTAACATCAATATGCAGTATGTAGAAGATCTCATTGGTGTGCGCAACTGTGCCTTTGATATTACAGTGCATGAGTATTACAGTAAGGGTAAATCACACAAGCTATTGATTATGAAGCACAACACTGCAATCTATGAAGTTTGAATACTCCAAATTTGCTATAGTATCAGTATTAGACATGTATCTGATACCAATAAGCGTATGATACTTCCAGATATTTATCCAAAAAGCATCTCAATTCTTCTTTTATTTTAAATATAATATACTGGCTTGATACGACTTTGATACAAGTGAGATATGGCTTTTAAAACATTCAAATATGGCTGAGGTTAGTGGATATGATACTCTCAACTCATTTAATCTTGAAATAGTGAGTCTCAAGATTTGCACAATTCTTTTGACAGTTTTGATATTTTAGTCTTCAATTAGCAACATGAGTCTCATCACCTATGACTAGTGCTTGTGGACAACACAAGTCTCGTCTTCCACAATTAGGGCTAGCAGTTCTTGTGGATATCAACTCTTGCAAAATCAAGCACCTTTGTTCTAGTTCTTAGAGCTTTTGTGCACATCAGAGCCTCTAGATCTGGCAACGTCACTAGTTCCATCCTACGTGGTAGGTTACACATAGGTTGGTAGTGATGGTTGGAAAGTCGCACCACTTGGTCCTATGGTTGTAGATTGCACTGCAAGACACGCATAGGGCTTACACATTGATTCTGCTTTGACTTTTGAATCCTTGTACTTTGGATGTCTAGTCTTTCCACCATTGAAACATCATCTTCCTCTTTTATTTGGGCATTTTCAACTTAGGTTAGACATATTTTTGAAGTTATTATTTTGTTGTTTGTACATTTTATAGCAACCTAGTTAAAACTTAATCTTTACTTATTATTGTATATTTCAACAATTGTGTTTGTTTTTAGTAAATACATAGAAGTGGGCCTTAATGTTGACTGTTGTTAAATTCTATAATTTCAATTAAATTTGTTTCTTTAAAATTTCAAGATGATCATGCTCCATTTTAGACATTTGTCACTATAAAAGAAGTTAACATATGGAGGTGGCAATAAGCTCTAGAGTTGTAATTTTTGTGACATCAAAAGTTCATAAAAGCATATTTACTTAGTATTTTTAGTGTTAGTGTTGGTATTTGGCAAGGTCATTATATTGGTACTTGGTTTATTTAAAAAGAATTTGTGAGAAAGGTTTAGAATAGAATAAAACCTAAAACGTTTCACTACCTGCAACAAGTTGCCTTCAATACCAACCACCTTACCCTAAAAGAAAAACAAAAATGCATAGTGGTACTATAGAATAAACTTTTAATGTTGAGGATTGGAATCAACTTAGAGTAGAGGTAGCATGAATGATTTATTCTGATGGCTTATCATTTCAATATGCTAGAAATTCGTACTATGTTAGCTCATTCATTTTCTACCAACCACAATCTTAGTGATTTCCTTCTTCTTAGTTACAATACTTTAAGTCTTTTACAACAAGAGAGATCTTATATTGAATGGTTGCTTCAACCTATAAAATCTTTATGACTTGTAAAAAGAGTTGTATTTGTTGTTGATGGATAGACAATTATACAAAGAAGGCCTTTGATAAATTTCATGACTGTAATGTTTTCAAGAAGTATAATGATAAGTATAATAAGGACGTAATCATTGAAGTTGGTCTGAAAGATGATTTTTAAAGCATAATCAATAATGCTCCCATGGTAAACAAAAATTTTAGTTGAAGTTGAGTTTCATAATGTATTTTAGACCTCTTATATGGTTCACACTTTGAATCTAGTATTGAAATATAAAAATATTCATTAAAAATGTTTTCAATGAGTGCTATTGGATTATTGAAGTGGTTGATAAAACATTTTTTGTTAGAACTTTCATAATGATTTACTCACAAAATTAATTACTTTTAATGAATTTTCTTCGCTTAAATTTTTTTTTTTTAACTAAACCTTGTTTTTCACCATTAACTGTGATGCTAAAGAGATCTAAAGTATTGAAGTGTGATTCATAAAATATGGTCTTTAATGATCAATAGTATAGTTCTAGAGAAGATGATGGAAAAGATGTACATGTGAAATATTTTTTTTAAAATAATATATGGTGAGACATGTGACACCTTTAATTTCAATTTCAAAATACATAATTTATGTCAAAATAGAAGAATAAAATAAATTCAAAACATGTAATATAAAAATGTGAAAAACTTTAAACTTTTTTATGAATAAATCTTTTTACAAATTAACCAAGGTAATAAAATGAGAAAAAGATAATTTGTAACTGAATAATTATATTATACTGAAATATTTAAAGAATTTACATATACTAAATTTCATTTACATAAAAACAGTATAATGTTTACTACTGTCAACAAAATACAATAGGACTCAGAACATACATTTACAACATCAAAATATAGACTAAACCTGGTGAGCAATTTGCATATGCACCCAACTTACTGAGCACTCAGTCTTAGTTGTCATCGTTATGTCAGCCATCTATCTCCATTAGCTCCTCTAGTGTCTGGTTCTCATCCTCTCCAAGGTTATCAGAATCAGTTACAACCTCAACACTTGCTCGAAAATATACTAGGTAAGACTCTCAAGAAAGTCATGATCGTGGAAAGTGTTAATATTATCTACAACTCTTGAAGGCCTAACACTCCCTTCGTAGATATAGAGACTAAGTGTATCGAATCCTATTATTTACAGGGTAATTAAAAGGAACATAATCTACATTAATTTATACAGTCCATACACTATTTGGTTCATCATCACAGTCTATACTAAAATTACAATAATAAAATCGTTGATATTTTCTAAATACATAATTCATTTTACAATAAACAAAATAGTCTACTAATCTAATCGGTCCTTGGGGTGCCATTATCTTTGTTCCTGAAATGCTTAGTAAAAATAAGTATTTATGTTATCATTAAACATAATACAATTTAATTATTAACATCATAACATAATTATAATCATGGAAGAAAAGGAAACATAGTCACATCAATCACAGAAACAATACCTTAGCAATTCTCACACAATCATGTACATTTCATCACAAATCACGACACTTTTCTCTCTCAAATACACACTTTCTCATGTAATGTGATCACAAATATTTAATGCCTCCAGCACTTCGTAAGGTTTTACACAGATAGGTAAATAGTTATCGGTTAGCCCATGCACATAGATATAACGGATACAATAATGATCTCTTAAGAAAGGTATAGTCAGGAATCTAATTAAGAAACGAGTGAGAGACCGAAAATGTGTATACACATACACGAATGTTACTCACCACTTTATGTTTTTCCCAAATTTTTCATTATCTTTGAACTCTATACTCTTAATGTATCTCTGTAACTATTCATACTAATTTCTTTCATCACTTTATATTTATTCCATACTCCTTTTCACATCAATCTCATTATTCAACTAAAAAATCGTGTTTAGTAAAATACTTTCGGCCTAAGTTCATAACACATAAGTTTCAGTATATTACAAACTTCTAAAATCATCCAAAATATACATTATTAATCTTTCACCACAATCAAATCTCATTCAACTAAAGGATAATACTTGCTTAAGATATTTTTGAACTAAATTCTTATCACATATTTCACATAAATACAGTACAAACATCTTAGTCAACCAAATATACACCATTAACCTTTCATAACAATTAAATATCATTCAATCATATATTTACAGGTAATAAACACACAATAGTACTCTCATAAGTACAAAATATTTGCTATGTTTTAATGATAAAATAGAGCTTTCTTACCTTAAGAATAAAAGTTAGGAAGGAATTTGTAGAGAATATCTTTCAAAGGACACAACTTTTCCTACATATTATACAAAATAGAGTACCTTTGATAAGAGAGAAAAATAGAGAAATTGAAACAAGTTTGGGGAATTGTTTTGAGAAACTTATTTGGAGTCGATTGGATTAGATGTTTAAGTTTAGATTCGAGAAACAATTAGAGTTTGAAGGGGGTTTCTCTAAGGAAAGGAGGTGAGAGGTCAGAGAGAAATCAGAGAACAAGGTAATTTGAATTGCAATGCAAGTTTTCAAGCTGAAAATTCTTTAAATACTCCTCAAACTCGCGCATTCTTGCTTGGGCGAGACATCATCTCGCCTGGACGAAAACACTAAATAGTGGTTCCTCAAGCATTTATTGAATGCAAGTTATTTTTTTTAGTTATTATTTGTGTGCAATAGACGTTGTAGTATAACTAATTGTTTTATGATATATATGTGCTATAGTGAATAATGGCTAAGGAAAGCTTCCAATAGGTTATTTTGCATCAAGATGATGAAGTTTTGAGAGAAAGAAACAAATGTTTAAAAATATATTTTCTAAACCTTGAAGAAACAAATAATATTTTTGTTGAAATTTGAAAATTCTCATCTTTTTTGGGTTACTTTACTTCTTTTGATTCAGTTGAAGATAGGTGGATATTGGACCCAAAATCTTAGTGAGTAGATCTTCTATCCTTTTACTCCAAAAACTTGCCATAAAGTTTTTGTAAGAATTTCATACTTCATCATGTTGTAAAAAGAATTAGAGTATATACTCCATTCATTTTTTAAAGAGAAACACAATGAATCCAGAAAAAAGGTTGATGAT